CTCCTTTTCTGAATCCTCCTCCTTTTCTTGACTTCTTTTTTTCTCATCCAAACTCACCCTGTAGTGGAGTTATCCTGACTGATGACTTTATATACCATCTGCATGGACTTCCCAGCTTTGTGTCCGTAGCCCAGACCTCTCTCTTCCTGGAACCTGTATCTTAACTTCCTGCTCAACATCTCCATTTAGATACCCAGGAGGACTCTTCAGGTTTACATATCTGAGGTTGATTTCTTGGTTCTACTTCCCCAGGCCTGTCCCTCCCCCAGTAACTTCCTTCACCCAGTTATTTAAACCACAAATCTTGGAGTCATCCTTGACTTTTCTTCTGACCAACTATATCCAAACCATTGATAACATTCCACTGGGCCTCCCTTCAAATTGTATTTCCAATCTAACCATTTCTTACCATCACCAGATCCTGAAGACCCCTCGTCTCTGAGTGGACTATTGCAGTAGTCTCATTACTGGTCTCCCCATGTCCATCTGTCCCTCTACGGCACCCAGAGTGATCCTTTTAAAATGCCAAGTGACTTTTCCCCTTAGAACCTTCCAGAGGCACATCATTGTCCTTAGAATAAAATGTGCCATCCTTATGAAAGCCATATGTGATTTTCCCCCCTCACCACCACCAATACACACACACCTGTTACCTGCCCTCCAAACCCCTCCCCTGGTTTGCTGTCCTGTTTTTTCTCCCCCCAGGCACACACCATCTACAGAGCCTGGGTGTTCATGCTTCTCCCTGTCTGAAATGCACTATGTTCACATGGCTCACCCTCCACTCAGATCTCTGGGTAAAGCTCATCTTCATACCTACTACAGCCTTCCCCCCCACCAACATATCTAAAACAGACACTTTGGACGTTTATTTCTCCTCATAACATCACAACCTTCTGACACATCATGTTTATTTGTTTCTTGTCTTCCCCATGGGATGGAGATTCCGTGAGAGCAGGGATGTTTTCTGTGAGTCCACATCCTTTTCCACAAAGGCCTAAAAACAGTGTTCAGTACAGAGTTCAGTGTTGCTTGATTGGATGATTCTGCCGGACTCTGCTCAGTTATCAAGTCTGTCCGTGCTCCATTAGAGTGGGCAGAAGTTCATTAACTCTGCTGGGTATCAGAATCACTGGGGAAATTGCTTAAAATGCATATGCTTTGACTCTACCCCCTGGAGATCCAAATGCAGTAGATCCTGGGGTAGAATCTGGAACATTTTTTAACAAGCTCCCCCGGTAATTTTGATGCCTGAGGTAACTGGACCATACTTTGCCAAACACTGCCTCAGTGGACCGGTTTACATTTGTTTATCTGTTGCTCTGTTCTGTCAAGTATTATTTCATGTATATCAGCAGTGCTTGAATCACCTGGGAACCTAAATATAGATCTCGTAGTCCCACCCTAGATCTGGTGAATCAGAACTTCCAGGGATGGGTCTTGGGAATCTATATTTTTTGAAAAGCTCCCTTGGTGACAGTCTTCCCAATAGCCTGTGGGAGCCTCAGCTGTGTTTTACAGGCTCCTTGAGGAGGTTATAAACTCAAGAGCAGGTGTTTCTTATGTCTTTTTAGGCCAACTTCTCTTCCCATCCCTCATTAATCCAACCGTGTTCTACTCAAAACTGGTATTCAGTAAGTCACCATGGAGTGAACACCTTGATTTATCCACAGTTTCGATTTGCCTTTGTAACTTGAACATCAGCCAGTATTTCTAACTATATTTAAATCCAGCCCATTCTCTGATTAGAGGCAGGAAGCGTGTCTTAGCTGCCTCGATAATTCTGGTGGGGATTCTCTTTGCAGTCTTTTCTATCCACAAATTTAAAATGTGTTTCCCAAGTCAGACCAGACAGCACTGAGGTAACATCACCGATCTTCATACTTAAACACTCACCCATTCAGCCTTCCTTTTGGACTTGTTCTAGGGCACACATCCTTAGCCTCAGGGTTCATCCACTAGACTCCACAGCATCCCTGGGGATTGCAACAAGACCTGATCCCTTGCTGTGGGAGCTTTCCTGGGCTGCTCAATCTGTCAAGGAAGGTGTCCCCCTGGATTAGATTCCCTTTGGGGCCTGTGGCCCTGCCCTACTTCTTTTTGGTTTTGTCCTGGAACTGTACATAGACACTCTTTACAGCTGGATAGTTTAAAACTAAAAATGAAAGCATTACCAAAAATTAAAAAGTAAATGGGTGGGGATTGGACAGGGCAGGTGATGATACTTGCAGGATTTTATTCCTTGGCTAGACTCAGAGCTAGCCTCTAGGTTAAGAAGAATCACTGATGAAGGCCCAAAGAGAGCCCTTTGGTTAACCTATTCCTTTTCTTTTTTTTTTTTTAGTGGTATTTTGAGATTTAAAAAAAAAGATTTATTTTAGAGAGCAAGCAGGGGGAGGGGCCAAGGGAGAGGGAGAGAGAGAATCACATGCAGACTCCCCACTGAGCACCGAGCCTGATGTGGGGCTCAGTCCCAGGACCCTGGGATCATGACCTGAGTCAAAATCAAGAGTCAGATGCTTAACTGACTGAGCCACCCAGGCGCCCCTTGGTTAACCTCTTTCTTAAATAACTGAGTCCCTGTGGAGTGTGCATTCTGGACTTTGGATGGCCAACTGGTAACCTTTTTTAATATATTGAGTTCGTGTGTATTCTTTGCAGAAGATGTCTGGGTCATTATTCAAGGCAGAATCTAAAAAGGAGTAGTGTCATTTAGGTAAACACAAGAAGCACTTCCGAACACCCATGGTCTGTACCTTAGAGTTTTGCCTCTGGATAAGCCACAGATTACATTTTGGTGCCAGATGTGAGAAGCCATTAGTAATCGGGACAACTCCCCTGGGAAATCCTGTTCCCAGTCCCTGTTCCAGAGGATCACTGCTTCCTCTGGAATATTTCTTTGGGGGGCTCTGGAGGCTGCGATTTAGTGACAAAGGGGAATGACTTGACCCTAGAAAAATAAGAATGAGAGATTTCTAATGAGATCTGACAGTTCAAGGACTGAAGAAGGAATCTAAGCTTTTTTTTTTTTTTTTTTTTCCCTGCCCACCCAGTCTTCATACAAATGTAAATATGCCTCCTTCAACAAATTGCCAAATGTGGTTTTAATTTGTAAGCAGGAGACCCTGCCTTGCCATTTTCTTTTCTTTTTCTCTCTTTTTTAAAACCGAAGTCACAGGTTTTGCCCTTTCTGAACTGGACATTTCCTTATGTCACTCCATCACATTTTCTGTTGTCCTTTTCCTTCCAAGGACATTTTCCCCCATTGTTTGTGATCAGAGGAATTTGGGACGAGAGTCAATTGTCATGTTTCTTAAAGAAGTTTTTGAAGTTCCCATAGGAAATACATAGTGCTCTTTAAACTGAATTTAAAAAATAAATAAATGAAGGCAGAGATTGGATCTAGCATAAGATTTGACGAGTGTCACTATCGCGGCATCATACTTTATGTGGGCTACGCAGTATCCATTGTTGTTATTTATGACCCTGTCTGCCTTCCATTGTGGACTTCTTCAAGCCTTGGGGAATTTACATCATTCCTAATAGCAAAAGGCTTTCTGGTTCCCACAGAGTTGTTCAAAGCCTGACTCATGCTCCTTATGTTAATTGTTCAGCTCTGAAAATACAGCACTTACAGGGTGTGGTCATAAGGGGAAAATCTACTGTACTTATAGGGCATGTTTAGAAGTGTTTCACACATAAATCTGTCTCTCTCATTTCTCCCTCTCTCCCTGTACCCCCTCTCTCTCTCCCCCTTTCTTCCCCCTCCCCTCCATCTCTCTCTCTCTCTTATTTAACTTTAAAACTGTAGCTCTATTTAGTCGACTAGTAAGTCTTAAGGGGAGAAAGGGAGAAGCATCAAAATGCAGTATAATCCAATAAAACCTACAATATCCTGTTCACTAACTCTTAAAACTGACTTAGGTTATAACTGGATATGACTATGAGTGACATTGATCCAGGTCTGAAACCATAGGCGGGATTAGCGGGAGCTAAAGACTCATACTCGGGGCTGCAGGGTAGTGATTTCACAAAGGTCAGAGCACTGGCCTGTGGGGCACCCAGGCATCATACTGATGGCTGCTGTCTACCAGGCGTTCTGGGACTGCCATTGTTAAATTCCAATGTAAGTCTAAAGCAAGGGACCTACTGATAATTTCCCAAAATTGTTCCTTATGGCCTCAACATTTTACTGTGGAATTTGGTGGAGAAGGGCACTTACTGTCCCAGGAAATGAGAAGAGTTAACACCTTGTCTGGATTATCTACTTAACAAAAAGGAAATGATTCCAAAACTATGAAATAGGTCAATGTTGGCAAAGATTGGGAGTTTTTGACATTTTATAAGTACTTCTATATGATGCTTCCTTGGGAACATATAATGATAGATACACAGATAATCTCTGAATTATGTAAAAACTGTGGTAGTGCTGTTAGTTTAAGAAAAAACTCCCAGTTTTCTGGTAGCCAAGAATCACAAACTTCAGTTTTCAAAGTACCAGTATTCAAAGGCTTAACTCACTTATGTAGCCTTGAGTTTTGCAAAGGCCAAGTTCTGTATTTTTGTAAATAGAGAAAATGTGTGGAATTCTTAGGCTAATCAGGGTACAGACCATGGTGCCACCAGGTCTCTCTGGAAGATCAGAGCTCACACACATGCTGCTGCCTGGCACTGTGATTCTGGGCTTCAACACACTTGGGGCCACAAAGTTAGCAGATATTGGCCAAGAGTTCCCAGATGGTTTGGAACCAACATCCTTTCTCTTACAGTCTTGTATGTCTGTGGTGCAGATTAACATATGAACTGCGTTGGGTAGGAGTCCAAAAAAAGTGACATTTACTGAAAAGTTCTAGATTTAAAAAAATTAAAATAGCTTAACACTAAGTGGTTTCATCTAGTCTTCACAAAAATCCGTTCACTGGGGCATTCAGAGCAGAACTGTTTTTTCTCATGTTCAGCTAATAGATTTCTGGTTGAACCTTTGTTATCTTTTGGAGTAGACGGAAGGAGCTCTCCACGGAGCGTCTGATTATTTTGCTGAGTGTGCGGAGAGTTCACTTCCTCCCAGTGCAAGGCGCAAGAGAAATGCTCTGAAAGAAATGTAGGTCCGATAAGTTTTCTTTTCCTTCTTTTTGAGTGTGTGTGTGTGTGTGTGTGTGTGTGTATGGATATGTGACATGAAGTCTGGGACTCAACAGGAGTTCATAGAAAGTAATCACAAAACTCCCTCTGGCACCGACCTTGCCCTAAGTCCCATGCTTGCCCTTCTGCCTTCCTGACTGTCTCTTGCATTCTGGACAGTGGGGAGCGAGTCCTTGCTTCACAGGTGTGTTGCAAGGAGTAATTAATTACAAGCGCTTTGAAGATGAAAAGCACCTGTCTGGTGGTGTGTTTCATACAGCTTTCCAAGTGACTACAGACCCATCTAAAAAAATACATTCCTTTGCTAAAATGCAGGTTCTGATTCTAATAATTATGATAATCCTCATGCCTCTGATTAGGAACAATAAGAACATGTGTGTGTGTGTATGTGTGTGTGTGTTTCCAGACTAAAGCTTAGCCAAAGTAAATATTTCAGCTTCAGTGTTTTGAGTTTGGTGGTTTAAGAAATTTCTTGTTATTCACAAGCCTGCAAATCGGTGTTGAAGTTAAAGTCTCCAGTCTCTCAATTCTCCCCATGCCGCTCCTGCCCTGCCCCTCAAAGTGAATTTTACAATCAGACTGAAGTTTGCATTGCCTTTTGTGTGTGCTATAGAAAAGGTGTGTGTATGTGCGTATAAGCACATCCTTGCGTGCACACGTGCTCATACACACACACATGCGCGCACACACAGCCTGTGCTTTGGATGTATCTGATTTACTTCTGCAGTAATAAAAACAATATATCACATTTAGGCAATATTGACTCTCCACATCTGAAATGAACATCTCCCTGCCTTAGTTAAAATAGATCCATCATAACTCCAATATAACTACATTGCAAACCCAGTGATCAAGAAACAAAGCCTGTCCTCGTGTATCTTAATAACTAATCCTCGTGTGTTGGAAAATGTGATGGCTCTTGCTTGATCCAGTCTGAATTTAAACATAACACTAAGGGATTGTTCTAGATTTGCCAGGGAGGTAAAGGAGAAGGAAAGGTAGCACGTGCCTCCTTTTTGAGGTCTAAGAAACGTGATAAGGGGTATAGGAATTGGAGGGCAGCATGCCATTACAGCTTTACAAAACAAAACAAAATCTTTCTTTGTTTTAGTGCGAAAAGAACTGAAACAAAAAGCAGCGTTGTGAGCAAATCATGGAGCAGCAGGGACATTGTGGGAACTTCTAGTGACCCAGTGATGGCAGAGATAACGAGGAGGAGGGGGGTGACAGTTGGGCTTCAACCAGTCCCCCATCAGAGTCCACGGGACAAGCAAAAGATTACATAAAGGCAGCTGAGAGCCACTGGGGGCTTCCTGTTCAAAAGCTGGAAAATGTTCATCAGACCCAGCCAGAAGACACTAGCAGCCAGCAAAAACCTCATTTCGGGGAGTGGTTAGAGACAGGGCTTCTAGGCAGGAGCCCTGTCTGTAGCTGTGAGTCAGCATCACCAGGTCCAAAACAAAGTCCACAAGGGGCCAGAACACAACAGAAACGCAGGAACCGCGGCTCTGCAGCAGACGTTGACCACCACAAGAGAGTTTCTCTTGGAAGTGATCGATTAGTCCCAAGAGAAATAATAGTGGAAAAAAGCAAAGCTGTCAGGGTTTTGCCAGCCTCAGAGCTGTCAGATCCGGGGTTACTTTTGAAACAAGGTTTGGCAAAAACGGCATCTAATGAAGAGTTGCATGTTTTGGAAAATCTCTCCTCCGGACATCTTACAAAAAATCAGCCAGGGCAGGCACAGCAAACCGGCTCAGCCACAAACAGTGAAAGATTATCTGCAATCCGGGGCAGCCCAACCAAGAAAAGAAAGAAGTACGGAAGAGGCCACTAACTTACTAACGGGGACTGCAAACTTGTAGTTGGGTATATAATGGCTGAAGGTGCAGAAAGAGAGGGGTGTGTGTAGCTGCCCTGATGTTAAAGGAATTAGAATGATTATTTTGTATAGAAAATAGAGCTCCGTGTGAGGGTTAATTTTTAACGCATTCATCTGCAAGAGGCTATGTGCTTTTTCTAACAACATTGCTACTTTCTCATCATACTTTTCTGTCTTCAGAGCCATTCACCTTGTCAAGGATGACCCCATTCTTGAACGAACTGCATGAAGAAACCAGTCATGTGCCTTTGTGACTCATCACTGGGCAGACCATACAATGGGCCACATGAAGACAGTGCTGTATATAGGGGTACAATTTCTTCTCTTGTTCCTCAGCCTGAGTTGGGCAGAAGTGAAGGAACAGGCTAGTGGTCCTCAACATCTGGTTCTGGGCCCAGCATCACTGTCTGAAAATGTGTTAGAAATGCAGACCTTGGGCCCCACCCCAGATCTACTGAATGAGAAACTCTGGGCAATTCTGAAACATGCTCAAGTTTGAGAACCACTGGACTAATTGGAGACTCCCTAGTGTTTGTTCCCTCCAGCCTGGCTCCCATGGCCTCCAGCTCATCTGCCTGAGGCCCACATGTGGACAGGCACCCCCTCGTGCCCTCTCAGACTTGTAAAACACATGGGTTCAGCGTCTGAGCTGCTCTGTTCCTGGTTTCTCTACAGCATGGTGGCCACAGCACCCACAAAAGTGTTACCCTAAGAAGTGCTAGAAGTTGGTGGGTAATTTGGCTCAGCATTAGAGGAAGACAGTAGAGGGAGAGGCTTGCTCTCCCTTGTAGCCCAGGCGTGTCCCTGTCCCTGCCCTTGCCCCCACCTCTAAGATTTTGGTTAGGTTCAGGAAGGATTAGAACCCAAGGGGAACTCAGTGGCCAGAGTTTCCAGTTTCCCAGTTGGAAGGCGTCACAAACAGTTTGAATTTCAAAACAGGAGGCTTCCATTTGCAGTATCACCCACTAATGTCTCCAGTGGGCTTGCTGAAATGTCACAGAGTGAATCATTGCAATGACTTATTTTGGATGGACACCTACTAAAGATTTTCTTAACCCAATTTCATTCTAAAATAGGGGAAAAACCATATTCAAAGGCCACCCATCAAATACATTTTTTTTCTGTTCAACATTGTGTGGTCCTTTGAAGTAGCACCTCCCTAGTAACAAGGAAAATCAAGTATATTCCCAGAGTGTTGGAGTTAGCAGAAAAATAACCCAGAAAAAGCCCAATGAAATAAAAGAATATGGAAACAGACACAGTGTAGGTGGTTCAGAATGCTCAAAACTAATTGTGGTTTTGTTTCTCTAGCTCATTCTATACTTGCCTCTGACTTCTTTCCCACTTGAAGGGTAGGACTCCTTAAGAGGCAACTGTACTCCCTGACACCATTTTGGGTCACGAAGTTCAGTGTTGGTCACTACCCTTGGCCATGAACGTAGATGCTATTCTTTTGATGTTCCCCACACTGCCTGGACACTTGTCCCCTTCTCGTGGTCCCAGCCTCACCACCCCCACCACCCCCACCAGGAACATGGCCTGCCCACCAGTGACCTTTCCTCTTCCCGCAGGTTTTTCCCTGCTCTTAGCTGATTCCAGTCAAAGCATTCTGTAGGAGAAGAGGGAGCCCAACAGAATACTACCCAGAGTCAAGCAGATTGTATTCATCCATTTGGGGGTAGACTGCACAGAACGGAAATGCTCCACTATGGGCCCCCTCTCTTGGAGTGACAACTGTTCTAGGTGTGCTCTTCACCGAAGTCAGGGGCAGAGTGTGTCATTGAATCTTCTTCAACAGAATTCTTGGAACAGTTTAAACAGAAAGGGGCCCAAAGAATAACCCAGGTGATCGGCCAAAAAAACAATAAGCTCCCTAGAACGGAATCTCGAATAAAAAAGACAACCATTTCAGAACACTAGCTGTTAACCCAGCACTAGAAGGAGATGTTTGGAATAGAGGTGCCAGAGAAAAGCTATAAGTTGAAAAGTTTTCATTTCATTTATTAACCAGGGCCTGCACAGCAGGTAAAGCCAATCTTTGTGATTTAATGATTTTCTCTCAAGAACAGCCTTGGCTTTAGAGTTTGGTGTATTTGTGGAAATAACAATTACTGTGACCTCAAAGGGAAAATAGCACCTTTGGTTGTAGGTTGACAGGGTCTTTCTCACAGCCCACATGTACATGGGATTGTGACAGGATTAACGGAGGGAACAGCTCTCTGCTTCCGCACTGTGGCATGTGTCTGAGGAATTTTGCCTTTAAGCATTTTCTCCCACATGTCTGAAACACCCCCGGATCTCTTATTACTTGAGTGGTTGTGTGATTCTTTGGATGTTTGAAAGTACAAAGGGGAAAATGGCTGCCAGGTTTTATTGTTGCTTATTAGCTAGGAAATGCAGAGTTCTCCACGACTGGGAGTGGTATGTGTGTTGACGTTCTTAATAATCTTATTAATTCCGCATCTGAAAATCTGAGAGCCTGTCAATATTCTTAGACAAAAAGAACAAATTCTTCAACCACTTAATAACCCAAACTCAATTTATATTCAAGTCCCTGTAATTCTGATGCTTGGGAGAAATATGGATCTGATTCTGTTAATGTTACAACTTTGAACTCCCTAGCTATCTCAGTGTCATGGCTTTTAAGTCACATCCATGTGCTTTCAGATGACTTTTTAATAGATTGATGTTGAGTGTTGTGTTTTTGTTGTTGTTGTTTAATGTCTATAAACAAATCTCTGAGAATAGTCAATGTGATTTTTCTTACACTTTTTTTTTTCTTTGCCACTGGAGGTTAACTGTTGTCCAGATATGCATGTAAATTGTTAAATGCAAAGGAGCAACCATTTGGGGAGAGAGGAGTGAGTGCTATAGCTCTTTTGTTTATTTATGTTAAAGAAGTAAGAAAATGTACTTCATTTTATAAAAAGCAAGAATCATTAAAACCTCTGTAGTTTGATTTATGGAAAATATAGCTTATTTCTTATCTCAAGATATGTCTTAGGGATAACAGTGGGATCCCAGTTAATTGTTTGCTTCTGGTGTCATGTTTGGATTTTAGCATGAATTGTTTTGCATCGCACGGCCTTTGATTTTAGCAAGAGCTTGGTAAGGGCAAAGCACCTAAGGGAAGGAAACCTCTATGCCCAAGAGTCGGCCTGGGATCACAGTGCTGCCATTCCCAGTTTCCTTGAATGCCTTGGCAGGCCCCACTGTCCTATTTCCACAGAATTTTAGTGAGTGGCCTTCCTTTTGAGGTAACAGATGCCTCTCCTAAGAGTCAAAATCCTCTCTTCAGAGTTCCATGACTTGAATATGGAAATCATTTCAATTTCTTCTTTTCTCTTATGAGGAAATTTCCATGCTCATTTTGTTAAGATTTGATAAGATGATAGAGTTCATTCCTTGTTATTGAAACACTAATGAATTGAAACACGGTGGAGCAAGTGAAAAATCAAAATTACGCTGATTTCTGTTAAGTAGTTTAAAATCTTCCTTAAGTAAATTAAGCATTATAAAATGAAGCTAATGCAGATAATTACTCAGGACAGCAGTCTAACTATGTAGATCATTGGTATTGCAATTTAATGATATAGTTAAATTCTCAGAAATCTGCAGAACTCCTTCTAATTTGGTTTCTGTATTTATTTAACAAGACAAGGAACAAATATATGTCAATGTGTGTGCTTAACAGAGGGGACTTGAGTGGATGAAATTATTACCTTTAATTGTGGAGAACTACTCAATACTGGACTTTAATCACATTCAAGTAAGTTTTATTGTGCAGCATAATATTACCATGTGTTACTTTATAATTGCCGTTAGAATTACTTATCAAAAATCTTGATTCTTAAATTAAACAAGAATCAATAAAACCATACGTATGTCCCCAAAGCATCTGATCAGGTGACCATAGATGTGGATTTGACAGAACCCCAGAATAAGTTTCATTAGTCAAGTTAGGAAGCCAGACGCTGCAGTCATCACCAGGAGAGTTCTTTTTTCCCTATCACAGTTATCCTGTCTTTTGTTTTGTTTAAACTGCTTGAATAGTTGAACGTGTCTGAAAGTACATGGGTCAAAGTAGTATGTAGAGGAAACGAACCTGCTTTGTAAATAAAAAGTAAAACTGTTTAAAAAAATTAAATGAGTGTGTATCACTTTTCTCCAAAACAAGTGAGTTAGCCCCAAGGAATATACATCCAAAATGCCCTTTTCTGAACCTGCGATTTAAAATTATATTCTCTTAGAGATTTTTTCCTTCTTGAAGCAACTCTGAGGTTTTGAGCACTATGTTAAAATAATCCCAAGGAGCTCTGCTTCTGAACATTTAGGTCTGGAGAACCCTGTGTGGGGTGTTATGATTAAATTGGCCCGTAAGATTCTGGGGTGGTCTTTACAATGCAGATATGTTCCCATTTCTTCCAGTTGTGAGCTAAGAGAAATCCCTCTTGTGAGAAGTTAAAGTATGCAACCTTGACTCCTTTCCAGAAAAATCTTGACATTTCCCAAGTGGATTCATTTCCATTTTCTAAGTGGATCTAGTCCTTGTTCACCACTGAATAAAGTCCTGGGCCAACTCTTTGTCTACACTGCCTGTTATGACGGGATCTCAGGCCCCTCTTATTGCTTGTATATGTATCTCCCCTTGGATCTGTACATAACCTTTCAGAGGCATTTCAATATGAGGTTGGGATAATACATTTGAAAAGCTGTGCGTGAAATGCTGAGAACCACTGCAGTCGATGAAGCAAAGCGCCTTTCTTTGTGGTTTGCCCCTGCCAGCAGGCTGGCTGGCCTGGCCCACGGGGAGGCTGACCTGCCCTGGGCCTGGGGTCTGGGCTGGGGATCCAGAGCCTGGAGATGGCATGGTGCTCCAGGCTGCAAACCCTGGGTTCAGGCTGCCGCTTTGCCACTAATTGGTTTGTGTGTTTTGGGACAAGTCTCTTAACCTCCCGGGCCTCAGTTTCTTCCTTTGTCAAATAAAATTCTCTCTCCTATTTTAAGTGCCACACCGAAGGTAAACATACCACTCCCATGTGGTAATTTTTGTATCCATTTAAAAAACAGGTTCTTCCCACTGGCCACACTTTGGAATTACCTTAGTAGTTTCTAGTTAAATCAGAATCCTTGAAATTTGGCCTGGGTATCAGCAGTTTTAAAAACACTTCAAACACTGATTCTAATGAGAAGCCATAGTTAAAAATTGTTTTAAAATGTAGGGGGGTGGTGTGTGTGTTTAAATAGTGGATGTTAAAAGAGGCAGGGTGTGCTCAGAGCTGAGTGTCCTTTATAAAGGGGGCGTGTAAGTCAGGAGTGTGCCTACTTTTAAATGAATGAGAAACGCTTTGGTGACAAGGTGTCAATAGGCGTACATTTTAATCACCCACAGAGATATGTTTTGTTTTCCCCCTCAGGCCCTCTATGTCAGTAATGCTGCTTTAGACCCAGCACATCAGAGCAGCTTCGTCTTTGCCAACACTGAGAAATTGTTGCCCTCATACAGAAGACGAGTTTTTAAAGCACCTAAATAATTGTCTAGGGTTTGCCTTTGATCCATGATCATTAATATCACTAATAAGCTCTCGAAAAGTGCGTGTGAATCTCAAGTTCACATTTGGCAGGGCAGTGGAAGAATGAACGCTTTTAAAATAGTTTGGCTCAGAAAGCACATCTGAAATAACCCTGTGGGAAAATCAGGAGAATTTCTCATCCTCCAAAGGATTACCTAGGATGAGATGCTGACCTTGTATTTTAAGTTCGGTTACATTTCTTAAAACCTCATTCATTACCCAGCCTGATTTATTTTAGTGGGTGAAGTAGGCTGTGGGAGGGGACTCCAGTGATGTACAGTGTTCTTGTTGGCCTTTTGTTTTCTCCACAGTTCCCAAAAGATCATCACGTAAATATATTTCTTTAAAACACACATGCAGACCAGCTTCCTCACGAGATTTACTACAGCTTTTCTCTCAGAAATTAGAGCTGAGGATTCTCTCGTCTTCAGGCTTCTGAGGCGATCAAGCCCCAGAAGGCCGAGTGTGTGCGGGGTGAGCAGAGCGCTGACCTCTGCCGGGGAGAGGTCAGTTCAGCACACAAGACTCAAAAGGGAGGAAGAAAAAGCAACTCCTCAGCAGGGAGTTTGACTTGCTTTAGGGCAGAAGAGATTTTATAAATAAGTTCCCAGTCTCCCACGCCCTCTCACCGGCTCTTCTATTACTGGTCCTGTCTCCGCGCTTAGATACACACACACACACACACACACACACTCTCTCTCTCTCTCTCTCTCTCTGACGTGGGGACACAGACACACAGCTCTTACTTCCACTTGCTGCCTCACATCCCTCTCTCCACCTGCCCCGGGAACTGTGCGTTGCACTGCAGACCCTTCTCAGGATCGGAGGCAGGTGATGGATTGACTGGGAATTTTTCTAAGCCCAGTGGCTCATAAGGCCTTTTCTCTTCCTCCTTAACAGGCTCAGCTGGTGAGAAGCATGCAGAAGGCTCTTTCCCAAACCACTGTGGGTGCCTGGGAGGATTAATACCAGCCCATCCATTCCTGTTGTCACAGGGAGAAGGTGGAATGGTGAATTAGGACGACCTCCAGCCTTGATGTGGCAGACTGGGTGTTTGGGATGTGTCCCAGTAGGAGGAGCCTAGAAGGCCCTTTTGTAACAATGCCAGAATGAATCGAGGCTTGTGAAGCTACAGCACCGCTTTGATTTTTATGTTCCCCTTAAAATGCTTCCCTGGTGAGCCTTTTCCCAGTGTCTCTGCTTGGCACGGTGACCATCTAGAGCAGAGTGGTGACTGCTTGGGCAGACCCTGGGACAGCTAGTAAAGTGTCCTCCGGTGGCTCCCCAGTGAAAAGTGCCCATCAGTACGAAAGTACTTCTGGGAGAAGAGCTCTCCATGTCAGAGATTCAGAGGATCTGCTATTGGGGTTCTTGTTTTGATGCTAATTATCTCTAGCTAGAAGAACCTTCTGGATCTCAACCAAAATCTCTATACAGGCTCAAAGACAAGAATACTGTCCATCTGTGAATATTCCACATCAAATTGGCTTTCTTTTCTCTTGAAGATAGTATTCCTCAACACCAGTTTATCAAATTGCATGTTCTGGATCCTGGTTGTAGAAATGATTTTAGCTCTTGTTCTGAAAGTTTATAAGGTCTAATTCTAGGCCCTGGTAACACTTTAGAAAAGTTCACTGAACTTAAGAGAAACCTAAACTTTCTGCCACTGGCTATGCGTGTTCACCTAAGCCAGCTGCCCCTCTGAGGGCAGGCTCAGGACAGAGCAGATGGTACAAGAGAAAGTTGGGCTTGATATTTAGCTCTGACTCAGTCCAGAGCAAACGGCCACTGCGCAGTGAGGACAGCTGAGGAGGGAACTTCCTTCTAGGGAAAGGCTGCTTAGTGGGAGGGGGCCATTACCAAGTATTTCTGGGACGTCCAGTCCTCTGAAAACCTCATCAAGAAAATGAATCAAACATTATCACATAAGGAGAGAAAACTGACCCAAGACCATGTGTCCTGGAGTCCTGCAAGGCCAAGCACCTGGGCTTAACCTCATCTGGCTCTAACTGTGTAAAAGGGTAGGGAGGTTGGATATGGAAGACAGAACCATGTTCTATTACTTTTAGAGGCTGTCGAGAGCTGTCTACACTGGCAGACCACACACTGTTGTAGAATTTAATTGGGAACCAAGTTTTTTTGTGGTCCTCTAGTTCATTCTTATCTTGAATGCACTTTTTTTTCTGCTACACTGATAGATAGCAGGCACTGAACTGACTGGGGAAAAGCCGATTTGTGTAGCCAGGACCCGCACCACCACGTGATGGAGCCTGGGACAGCTCCCTTTGGAGGAGAACTTTGCCGTTGCTGTGTAACAACCATACATTTAGCAGCTTGCAACAGTGCAAATTGATGATCTCACAGGTTCTGATACTTTTTAGCTGGATCCTCTGCTCTGGGTCTCATGAGGCTCTGATCAGGGTGTCAGTCAGGCTGTATCTTCATCTGGAGGCTCAACTAGGGAAAGACCTACTCCCAAGCCCCCTTGGGTTTTTGGCAAAATTCAGTTCCTTGCCATTTTAAGACTGTGGACTCCATTGTCCTGTTGGGGATTGGCCAGGGGAATTCACTCAGCAACTGGAGGCCATTCTCAGGTCCTTGCCACAAAGCCTCCTCCATCTCAAGAATGAAGAAATGTCCCTTGTGCCGAATCTCTCACATTTTGTATCTCTGACTGCTCCTGTGACCAGCCAGAGAAAAAATTGCTTTTAAAGAGCTCCTGTGATTAGGTCAGCCCCACTTGGAAAATCTCCATAATTTAAGGCCAGCTAATTGGGGACTTTAATGACATCTGCAAAATCCCTTCACAGCAGTACTTGGATTAGTGTTTGATCAAATAACCAGGGCCCAGGAATCTCTGGGGGCCATCTTAGATTTCTGTCAACCTCCATATCCAACAACCTTTCCTTAGCTCTTCTCAGGCCCGGGGCCCAGTTAGTGGCGAGAACAGAGACTGTCACTGGAATCTAGCTGGATTCCTTAATCTTTTAGTGGACTCTATATCCTATCCCACAGAGCAGTGTTCTTTCTTCTTCCTGCAGCGCTTTTCATGAATACGAACAGTGGCACACATTTATTATCACCGTTTCATGGATGAGGAAACTAAGATGCAAAGAATTTCGGAAACCTTCCAAAGTCAGTAAGTAGCAGAGCCTAGAATCCAGGTCTGTCCAACTCCCAAGGCCAGAAATTCTGCTGTTGGGCTGCAGCTGTGTGAGGTTAACACCACACAGGCAAAAAACACCATGCCAGAAATCGGGAAGGAAGAGCTGTGATTGGAATCAAGGAAGTCTGGCTCCAGAGCATATGCCTTTGCCACTCAGCAGACAGCCTGGCTTTGTACACCGAGAAGGTGAAAGCAACAGGCCACCCATCAGGCCCATGTGGAGGCACAGCACCCTGGAGGAAATGTTCAGGACATCTTTTGTTGAGTGTTGTACCAAGAGCTCCCAGGAAATGCAGAAATTCTGGGGTCATGGCTGTGTGGGGAAAGCCCAAGGCTGTGGTGAGGCCTTGCCCACCCCCTTCGGGCCCCTTCCCACTCGCTTTCCTTTTGCTCACAGACACTTCTTCTGTAGTTTTGTGCAAACCTATAGCTGTTTCACATTCGTGCTCTCCCTTTCTGTGTTGGGCCTTGATTCCATTTAAAAAACACTTCCACACACCAACCGGCAAAGCCAGAGAGAGCCCCCAGAGAGAGGATATCTGTTTGTTAACGTCCTGAACTTGGAGGGCTTACATTTTGGTCTCTAGGACAGGGTTTTTCCCAGTCATTCAGCGTGGGTGCCTCAGCGCATGGGAAATTTTTGCATAATATGTAGTTCTGGCCTACCCTGACACGACAAACAGGTTAAAGATGGCTTGTGGGATATGTTCCTAACCCCCCCGTGGTGGGTGGGGAGAGCATGGGGGAATAGGCTTTTTGGGGTGTTGGGTGGAGGAAGGAGAGCTGCCCACAGGCAGTGCCAGGAACTCCCAGATCTGCCTGGGCTGGCCCAGCTGCACGCTGGACGGGGCGAACTGCATTGCATTCAGGCTACTAGGATGTTAGTATTTTTCAATGCTCAGGTGATTTTTCCATGAATAACCTGGAAGTAGCTTGCCGGGCGAAGCAGGAGTGTTTAGGGAATGTGGGATGAAGCCGAATCACAGTTGGCATCACCTGACACTGGCCAGGACCCTCCCAACCCCCTTTCATACACGGAGAGCAGTACCAATGCCCTGAGAGGTGTAAAGTGCGCGTGCGCATGCGTGTGCCTGCCGTGCGCGTGCACAGAAGAGTAGGCTGTAGTGAGTGGGGCTGTCCATTTCCTTTCTGAGCCTCTTTTCCTGCAGTCTTATGTTCTAGTTATGTGAAGCAGAAACTGAGAGGGAAATCTGAAGCTGCCCAAGAACAAAGGAACCACCTCCGAAGGGACGGGGCTTGGCCTTTGGTTCAGAAAATACCTGTTGCTGTCAGATTTATAAAGATGACACTTTCTAGGCAAAACCTGCAGGAGGCACCACTCAGATTGGGGACAGTGTCTCTGTGGCAGCTCTCTGCAGCCTCCCTTGAGGCTTTGCAGCCCCTTTTCGTTAATCACTGTTCTCCCAATTCTGTACCTTTGAAATTCACACCAAAGGCAGGATCGGGACATAAATCTGGCAAATTCCCAGAAACTGCAGCAACCCAAGCAGTAGGAGCCCGAGGTTCTAGTCCCGGCTGTTGCTAACCCTGTGTGGCCTTAGGCAAGTCAAGTCCTCCAACCTCTCTAGGCCTCAGTTTCCCCTCCAGAGCCTTTGATGGGTAAGGTCTCCAATTGCAACCCTGTCCAGGGAATCTTAAGACGGAGGCTTTTCAACTGCGCATGTCTCAGCACTGATGAAATGAAGCAGCTCTGCACTCTTCAGGGACAGAGTGGGAGCCAAGCCGTTCGGTTGCCTGAGTAGTCATTAGGAAGCCAGCTGTAAACTTGGATTCCCCTCGAGGACCACGGAGGAGCCCCACTGGCCCTGCCAGAAGAGCTTCTCTTTAAAACAAAGCTGTTACTTTCATGTTGCTGGCATCTGCTTTTGCTCTCGGGATAATTCAACCCTCAGGTGCCCTGATGTGGATACTGCAGAGGAAGGGGCGGGGGTGGGGTCCTGGAGGCAGCAGGCAGGCCTCAGGTCCAGGTTCTTATTGGTTTAAGAGCCTTCACTAAGGTAATTTTCCCGACTTGCGCGTATCACAGGTTAATACCAGACCCATGCCTAATGATACATAATTTAAGACTTGTAAAAGCTGCCTGGTACTTGAAAGAAACACACTCTAAGCCAGGAAGGTTGTGCCCGGCATGCAAGAGCAAGTAACACAGGTGGAATTTATGTCCAAAGCAAGGGAGCCGCGCCCTTTTGACACGCTCTCAAAGGGTGCCCTGTAGAGTGCCGTGAGACCCGGGGCCCCGTGAGCATCACCCCCACTACCTTACTTTTAACTACCATCGGAAGGCAGCTGTTCACAAAGGGAAATTCGTTATTTTTAATAGTCCCAGAAATATCTCATGGATTCGAAGTGACGCAACAAGATTGCCCTAATGGTTTCTAACCTTTGTTTTTAATACTTCTGGGGCCGGCACCCTATAGAACTGCTGCAGGGCACCCTTCTGCCTCCAGTAACCAAGCTGTCTGTTGGCATTGTTGGAGACTGACATAGCCCAGGCCGGGATGTTTAGCTGCTTGTGGGGTGGAAAAAAAAAAATGTTAAGAAAAATAATTGTTGTTTTTGCAAACTATCTATTTAAAAACAGAACCTCAGGAAGCAGATTTCTGTTCCAATGCTAGGATGAATCAGAGCTCACAAAGTATAAATACACATTAGCAGGAGGAGGCTTCCCATAACCCAGTGCTTGTGTGTCTTCCCAGACCAGGAACCTCTGAACTCCTGCTTCTCATTCCCAGTAGAGGCAAGGAGCCGCAGCCGAGGCGGAAATGACAGAACATTGCCCAGCCGAAGTTGCAAGCTTCTGTAGGTCCATAGGACCCTTTTACTCTTTAAAGGCAACTGGCCTTTAGCTACACACTGGCTCACTTTTGGATAGACAGGTGTACACTGTTGAGGAAGGTGGGAAACCCATGCTCTTGTTCCTTGGGCTCTTGGACACCTAAGAACTCTTACCAAATAAGTTAACTTTGACTCACTGACCCCCTCAGATCAGCCAATAAACATGAAGCACTTAGACCACAACTTGCTCAAGGGGCAGTATAATTATTTTACTTAAAAATGATGTCAGGTGGCAATTTAGCAACAAACTGGCTTGCAGGCTACTTAATTCAGTTTAACAAGGAAGAAAAACATTGTAATTAATGAAGAGCTTATACTTTAGTACTTTAGTAGAGTTGTTCTTAAATTTTACTATCCATAAGCCAGAGAGGAAGGGGAGGGAGGTGAGAGCTTGTTGAAAATACAGATTCCCTGGCCTTGGACTCTTGGACCGGGCCTGGGAATCTGCATGGAGAGAAACCTGCTTCCAAGTTATGCTTCTGAGTGTTGCCCAGTCTCACTGGACTTGTCGTCAATTAAAATAGAGCCACCCACCCCCTTTTCTGATTTTATATTGTCTAAGTCTGGAATCTCAGCACAGTCAGCTTCGAGTTAATTCCTTACTGGAGTTTCGCGGTATGGTCTAATGCTAGGGTTCGAGTTGGTCAAGTTTCTGGACTAAAAATTCTCTCTTCCAGGGTCTGCTTCAAGAGGGCCCAGGACATTGATGGGGAATGGGAAGGGTATGGAGTCCCTTCTTTTCTACCTCGTCCCCAAGATAACCAGGGCTTCCTTGCCTGATTACCTCTACCTGGAGAAGGGGAAAAACTGCCCTTTACGATTCAGGGCCTGGCTTTGAGCCATGCCTAGAGGAGCCTGATCTCTGCCTTCTCACTACTGAGAAGACTTCTTAAAACAACAAATGTGAATCTCAAGATCACTTCCCTCCTGAATAAAGAATTGCAGAGGCTCATTAAACTTTTTTTCTCTTGGCACAAAAGCACTTGGCAACTACCCAAGGAATTCTGGGGTCCTGAAGAATCCAAGTTCACAAACCACCGGAGCAAGATATTGCTTCAGGATGGTGTTTGAGTTGAGCACTGCTAAATCAGATGGTGTCCTGGCTCACTGGGTCTGTACCGGAGCACTTCTCCCTCCCTGTCACCCCACCTTGCAGAAACCAGCTGTCCACCGACAGAGATTAGGGACAGAAAGTACTGCTATACCAGAGCAGGGAGATGTCGTGGGAACCCAGACTCGCCGGTGTCCAGGTCCTCCGGGCTGCCTTCCCAGCAAACCCAAACGAACTGCTCTGGATTCTGACTCCTCAGTGCTCTGCTAGGAAGCTAGGGATATTTTTAAAGCCCATTGCCCCTTCTTAAACAGACGCCCATCAGAGAACATAGTTCCTAGCCTGGTAAAAGAAAACTTTCCCAAGGAAGAAGAAAAACCTATGCAGACCAGAGGTGGGCAGATGGCCTGACTGTGCAGTGCTAGGGGACAGTTCCAAGGAAGGTAAGCTTTGGCTTGCTCATCAACAGGGAACTCCTGGCAGCTTCACACAGCTGCTGGAAGCCATCCATGTGCCCGTCCCTGTGGCTCATCCCTGGCTACAGAGGTGCAAGAGGCAAAGCTTCCCCAACCCCACCTGTGATGTGGGGGCAGGGCCGTTTTGGCCTCTGGCACCAGGAGCCAGAGGGAGAACCACAGTTCTCCTGTCCTAAACAGGTGCTGATGTGTGGCCTCTGGAACCTCCTCAGAGGCCGGCTACCTGGCACCCCACAGCTGCAATGGTGAGGCCACCCAAACACGGACTCCCTGGACACAAGGTGATGAGTAGATGGCTCTAACCCCAGAAGCTTCTAAGTACCACCTCCTGTGCAGCGAGGAAACCACTCTGGAGGTGGAAGCATGCACAGAAGCCACAAGGGTGTGGTCCAGAATGATGGCAGAACATTAATATTAATCCAAGTAGCCGGGGGAGGGGGCGGGGGGGGGGAGATCGAAAGGACCGAATCTCCCTCTTCCTCCCCCAACACTAATTCCAAGCTCTTTAAAAACCCTTTTAGTGTGGTGGGCATTTCCCGTGAGTGCTCACAAACAATTCACCTCCACACTACAGGCCATTAATCCAGTGGTGTTTATTCAAGCAGTATTCACACTTGCTGTTGAATAACAAGGGAATCAATGCCCCTGAGATGGGGCTCTCTCACAGCTCTGGCTTCACAGCAGCCCATGGTTTTTTGAGAACTTCAGCTGAATTTCGTGGCTGAAAAGGCTTTCAGGTTTTCCTCCGTGCCCCTGTCAGGCGAGGCCTATTTAGCACACCCCGCTTACCAGAACAGACTAGGCGGGGTGGCAAAGAGCAAGACAGAGCCAAGCAAAACTACATAAGCTCAGAAGAGGCCACACTGTTCCGTCTTTCATACAAAAAATTTAATAAATAGTACTTTTCAAAATTTATTGCCAGGAACAACACATCAAAGATGCATTTTTATGTTCATAACACTAATAGGACAATACAAAGTATCTTCACGGTCTCAATGGTGAACCAACGAAATTAACTGTTTTATAAGCCTTTTTGATCTTCAACTTTGTAATAGCGTTTTGATTTCCTCATTTAAGGCAGGCAGTGTACTCTATGGCAAATCTAAACAGTGATCTTACTGGACATTTTAAGGTTCAAGTATTCAACTAGCTTATAAGAATACTCCCTAAATGCAGTAGACAACAAAAAAATCAAATCTACAAGTGGTTCAGTATTACATACGAATGGTGAAAAGAAATCAGAATTTACAAAATAAGATTGTGTGAAGTTGGAAGCACACCAATTCAATATTTTTAATGATATTCAACCACTCACATTTTGGCTACGTAAAGTCGAAGCTCAAACTTGTTCCCTTAAACTGCTGTGTAGCCGATCACCTGCCTGTCTCTTTTCAAGTCTAAAGCAGACAAAAAAAAAAAAAAAAAAAGAACCTGCTGTTCTAGACTAATTTTCAAACTGCCTCAGTCAGTCCTTAAAACGTGTTTTAAAGTGATGCTATAGAAGGTGTTTTAAACATCTGACGTCGTACAAAAAAAAAAAAAAAAAAATTCCACCAGTATTCCAGGCACTGAAGCCCATCCTATTGTTTTAAACTATTTTCAAACACCTTAATTTTGGCTTATAGGCAACACGTAGTAAGAAAATAAGTTCAAAAAAAAAAAAAGCCATACACTTACAATGCTATCAAAAACCTTCAACTCTAAAGACGTACATATAAATAAAAAGGAATGATGTTTTAAGGCTCTTGATTATTAAGTTAATAAATCAAATATACACAGTGATTAATAAAAAAGAATTATTTACATAACTATACAAAATTCTACCTTTGACACATTTTTCCTCTTTAAATTCTTCATTTTACCAGCAACTGCTGACATCAAAGTCCCCCCTCCCCCAACAACAAAATACAATAAAAAAAATAAATAATAAACTCATTTGTGATAGTTGCTGTGGTTCTGAGCTGCAAAGGCACTTTCAAATACAGAACTACTTGTACGTCATCATAAAACCAATATACACAAACAACTCAAGAGTCAATAAATATAAATAAAAACTATGATCCTAAGACTGCATCACCATCGGGACATCTGGCAGAAGTTGGGAGCTCAAGGCCCAGGGGCCGGGCGACCTCCGGGGAGCCTGGTCCCAGAGCTGGCGGCTGTGGGGGGCCGTGTGCCGGGGCACTTTGGACTGGTTTTTTGCATAGCTGTGAGATGCAGCATTTGATTTCCCAGCCAACCACAGAAACTACCATTGCCAGTGTAAGCCAGCTTGTCAGAACTTAAATTAACACAGGGTTCTAAGTCAACGACAGCCTCAGCCTGGACTAGGACACAACAGCTGAAGAACTACAAGCCCCCAGCACCCTCAGACTCTACCTAGCGGCGGCAGCACCCACTGTCTGCTATACGATGTACTCCATCCGGTTTAAGCTCTGGGCACTTTCCAGGTCTCTGTTGTCCTGTTTGTTTGTCCAGTTTGGGTGTTTGGCTGGCGTGCCGTTGGGGGGCTTCTCCTCTCGGTCTACCAGCGTGTACGCCGGCTGTTTGGCAAACCGGGCTTTCTGCTGGTGCTTGTCCATGTCGTCCTCCTCCACCTCAGAGTTGTGTGTCCTGATTTTTGACATTTTGGAGTTTTTGTTCTCGTAATCCTTGATGGGGACCGTGTTGGCCCCGTGCTTCTCGATGGGGTTTTTGATCTGGTTCAGCTGCTCCCGCACGTTGTTGGTGGTGTTGTCCTCGGAGGCCGAGTGAGCGTGGCTGCTGGGCTTCCGCCGCTTCCGCACGCACCAGTAGAAGGCCGTCACCAGGCAACAGATCCAAGCCACAGTTAAGACGGAGCTCAACAGAGGAACCAGGAAATCTGTAAGGCGGGCACGAAACCAATTAACTCTCAAAAAAAAAAAATAAAAGCCATCACACGAACAAAAGAATACCAGCAGTGGTGTGCTCCTGCCCGTAATTCCTAAAAGGGGTGCCATGGGGACAAGTCTCTTTTCACAACCCCATATTGTCACTTCACAGCTTGATAAGTACAGAACCAGGGCCCTTGGGGACCCTGACACCTCTCTCCCCAGAGACCAGGCGCAGCAGCCGCCCTCGAGGCTCCCGGCTCCTCGGGAAGCAGCTCATTCGAGGATCTGGTTTTCAGCATTACCGGCAACCCGATCTGAGCATGCACAGCTCAAATGTCCCATATTCTCGCCTCGCTAGAACAACGGTGGTCAGAAGGGGAGTGTGGATGTCCCACAGGGCCATCGGGCTGCCTATCCAGCCTGTGTCTCCCAGTGCTTAGGCCGGGCTGTCCCACGACACCGGAATGCCACACAGCAGGATTTGCCCAGCCACGAGCTCAAGGCGCAGCAATGCTCTGCCCTAGGGCTTTGCAGTGGATCTAGAGACAGTGCATGTTCTACAGGGGTGCCAGCTTCCGAGAGCACAGCTTGGCACCAGGGAAAAAAGGTACCTCTACCCATCATCATAGGATCTTGCACATGGCAGCTGGCCCATTTTTTTTCACCAGTTAAATAGTGGGGCAGCTGGAGAGGGGGAGGGCGGGGGTGGTCCTCAAGAGGGGAAACTGTCAGCTAATGCCCCACCTGCTGGATGGTGAACCGAGATCGGATAGTCCTCCCTCAAGGGGAGTGTCCCCACCTGCCACCTACCCGTTCTGTTCTTCATAGGCCGCCTCTGCACTCGCACTTCGGCCACGGCAGCGATAAGCGAGCTATTCCCATCACGTTTACTAACAAGATCTATGATTTTGTCGGTGATCTCCTTGATAGGGTTTCCATCATCCCGTATGTCTTCGGCAGACTGGAAAAAGGAGAACGGTCAGATGCAGGGGCCGGGCGACATTCCACAGTAGCCGTTACTGAGTTACTGAACGCATGTGCCAAGCTCGGGTTCAGCGTCCTCACTCTATTTGGAGAGTGGCTAACTGTGGTTTGTGAACCACCCTGCAATCACGTAATGGAGTGTGACTGGGCCTCATACTTACGATGGCCACGTGTATTTCATTGTTCGCAGAAGGGGAAGGCTCACAAGCAATGTAGATTGAATATTCGGCAGAAACATTCTTTAAAATATTCAAATTCCTCAATTCACTGCAAATATGCTCCGTGGTGAGACCCTAGAATCACATTTAAAAACCATACATGTAAGATATTGGAAGGGGGGGGGGAAAAAAAAAAGAAAAGGCTGATGTTTCCTTGGAAGTTAGGAACTTAAGCTAAGGAGAACAAGATCCTAGCTGGGGATGCTCCTGCTTTGGAACTAGCAGACACACACCGCCATTCATTCCAAACTAAAAAAGATGTTGTTCCATACCGGTGACATCATCTCCTTGTTGAAGGTGAATGTGATGTTGGCACAATTCTCCTGGTAGTAGGGGTCAGAGGTACACTTGGTCTTCACGGGCTGGAAACCAGAAGACCGACACTCGCCCACACCCGTGCAGGGCCGGACGAAGCACTGGTCATCCAGGATCGGGATGCAACTCTGCCCACTGGGGCACTCGCTGTGCCCTTTGTGGAGCAGGCAAGGTCGAGGGCCACACCATACCTGGAGAGGAAGAGGAGAGGGAGATGGAGCATGCAGCTCAGGAGAAGCACCCGGCAGCAACTCCAGAACGCAGGTGAGCTGTGGAGGCCCTCATGCTCTACCTTGGAGCAGGCGATCCTTCCGTTCAAGCACCGGCAGGTATTGCAGTCATCGTCCCACTTGGCCCCGTCCGGTATCACACTCCCCATAGTGATACAGGGTCTCCCTGAAACTGAAAGGTAGGATGCCTAAGTGGAAGGGGTTTCCTTTTCTATAGACCACGCTCTCTTCTTCACTCCCTGTTAGGGAAGGATTATACCTCTGCCTTGTGCCATGGGACAACAGGTCTCCTTCCCTCACCTGCTGCCTTTGCACGTGGCCACATGACCACCTGGCTGGGCCAGTGCAGCCTTCGGATAAGTGATGTGAGCAGAGTCTCTCACAGTTGGGCTTGGCCTCTTGCAAGCCCGCCATTTGCCAGATACGGCTGCTGGTCCAAGGAGGGTGAGGAAGCACACAGAACAGACCAGAGCCCAGCCTGCAGCACATTCTCACTCTGCCTGCCCTGCATGCCCACGAGCAGGACAATTCAATGCCTGCTCTAAGCCACGTTTTGGGATGGTTTGTCACACAGCAACACTGCCCAAGAGTTGGGCTGAAAACAGCTTCCCTCTTTGTAGGGGACCCCTTCAGTTTCCCCAGTCCCTGTGGCCCCCTCTGCATACCCCCTCCATGTTCTCTTCCTTTAGCACAGTGCCCACTCGGGATCAAAGGGTAACTGTAGTGACTGTAGTGCCTGCTCACCCCACAAGACCCATTAGCAGCTGCAGCCTGACCCACATACCTTCCTGGCACTTGGCACCACTGTGCCCTGGGGGACAGATGCACCGGTAGCCATTAATCTCATCCACACAGGTTGCCCCAAAGGCACACGGGGAGGACTGGCATTCATTGATGTCTAGGGAAAATGGAGATCAAGTTTAGGCTCCAGTGGGAAGCAATGATGTTTTTTCTAAGTTTTTACTCACCTCATATAAGCCAGAAAAGCATACAAACCGTAAGCATAAGCTTGATGAATTATGTAACCAGCACCCAAATAAAGGTACCGATCAGTACCCCAAAAACCCCTAATCACTGCCCCTCACCAATCATCATTAGCCTGACTTTTGAGCAGCTGAGAGTCAGTTCAGGAGGCAGCAATATTTGATTAAATAGGCTTTTTATCAGATAATACAACTCAGAACAAGGGCTGGCAAAGTTCTTGGAAAGGGTCAAATATTTTAACCTTTGCGGGCCATGTGGGCTTTGTCATGACTATGGAACTCTGTTGTAGCATAAAAGCAGCTTTAGACAGTACATAAAGGAGTAGCTGTGTGCCAATAAAACTTTATTTACAAAAAGAGGCAGTGGGCCAAGGTAACAGCTTGCCAACACAATTTAGAAACATGGAATAGACCAAATCTATCCCAACTTAGTGCTGAAGACCAGTCAGTCCCAGACTTAGGGATCTCAAGCACTAGTAAAATTTCAAATAATTTGGGGATGAGAATAACAACAACAAATACAGGTATCACTCCCCCCCCCAAACTAAAGGGCATATAAAAAAGTAGGAAAAGGCTCAAAATAAAGAGACTTTAAGCACCCTGAAAAACGATATTGCATGTCTCCTATTTTAATCATTTCACCAAGGCCTGATCAAACCTTTGGAAACCACAACCCTAGTCCCATCCACTGCCGTTAGCTCTATTTTCTGTGGCTAATGTCCACTTGCCCATAATCCCAGGGCAGTCATGGGGAAAAGCATGGTTTCCTTGGGGCCTCAGAATTAGATTAATCATCCAATTCTGTGGCTGGTACTCCCTCCGCTAGAAGAGGGCTGGCTGTGCCACCGGGGGAAGGACCAGCAGGTACCTGGGAGGTTCCAGCCAGGGCTGTTTTCAGCCCAGTGGGGGTGGGAGGTTATGTGCCTCTCAGGGCTAAAGGGATCAGTGACCTTAACCATTTTCAAGATGAAAAAGTGTCGGAGTTAGGGGAAAGAACACCACTGGCGAAAGTATATCGGGCCGATCCTTACTTATTCTGCAATCAGGTCCAGCAAAACCGGGGGCACACTCACACCGGTACCAGTTGTCCCCATCCACGCACGTGCCACTGTTGTAACTAAGAAGAAAGCAAAGACTGCCTCAGTTACCGACCGCCCAATCCACGGATCCATGGACTCCACAACTCCACCAGCCAGTTCACCACAGGGAGCCATGCCAGTTACTTTCGAAGGCTCTCACCCCGGCCGCAATCCCCATTGCCTGGGGAGCTTTAAAAATAATGGCGCCCGGGTCCCACCCCCAAAGAGTCTCAATCACAGGTCTCCGTTGCAGTCCAGGCATTGGGACTTCTAAAAGCTCCCCTGGTGAGCCTCGTGCACAGCCCAGGTGGAGAATCACGGCTTGCAATGGAGACACAGCCGGCTAATTAAAGTGTGGTCCACGGACCAGCAGGACCAGCATCACCTGGGCGCTTGTTAGGCAGGGTCTGTAGCCCCACCCAGACCTCCTGCAGCAGAACCTGCATTCTAGACAAGATCCCTGGGGGATGCCTGTGCATGCTGTGGCCAACAAGGGCTGGCTTCGAAGGTAGTCATGCTTACCAGGGATGAGGACTGCAGTCATTGGTATCTGAAAAGTAAAAAGACAACTTAATATACCGAGGCCTTCACCAGGCAAAGCAGTTTTAACCCTAAGTAGAAACCCCCCTTATTTCCCTAATACCCATACGACAGAGCTGTAGTTTACACCAGCAAAAGGCGCTGAAGACCTCCGTTCAATTGGAACCAGGCCCGCACCACCCGTTTGTTCCCTGTGCCGTGGGACACTACACAGGAAGAGGCCCCGCTCAGGGCAGGCAGGGGGCTGTGAGAATGGAAGGAGACAGGCTGCCGGTCAGACCCACGCTGGGAACCGAGACACCATCTGTCTCCACTTATCTCCTCGGCGACTTTCTCATGCCCAGGTCAGGGCTGCAGTCCATCAAGTGCGTTAGAACAGACCCAGGTGATGCAGAAGCAGACATCAAACAGCTCTGCTTCTGGTTTCCATCGCCAGTCCCTGAGGCTGTCAGGCTGTGCTCCTGCAGCCCTCACAGAGTTCAAGGCGCGTGGGGCAGGGGGACACTCACTCTGAGTACAGATGGGCCCTTCCCAGCCTTCTTTGCAGACACATGTGAAGGAGTCCCCGTTGACCACACAGGTGGCCCCGTTATGGCAAGGGTTGGGCAGGCAGCTACTGTTTCGGGCTACAAGACAAGAACAGACAAGACCACCTCCCTGAGGATCCAAGGACAGTTCAGGGAGCCAAGAACCGGACCCACCACAACAACAGTCCTAGGTGTTGAGATGGCCACGCCCACAGCCAACCCCGCGTGGGGCAGAAAGCTACCTATGTTGCAGGTCGTCCCTTCCCAGCCTCCAGGACACATGCACTTGAAAGCGTCCCCTTCGTCAGAGCAGGTGCCACCGTTGTTGCAGGTGGCTTCGTCACACTGGCTGTCACCTGGAGGAGGGGGACCTCGTGTGAGCCCCTGGCCAGCCCCCTCACAGGAGACAGAGGGTGGGGGGGGGAGACCGTGGGGAGGGGGACCGTGGAGGGGGCTCCTCCCAGCCAGCTACCACTTACGCGAATGGCAGGTCTTTCCTTTCCACCCATTTTTACAGTCACAGTAAAAGTCATTGACAAGGTCACGACACGAGCCCCCGTTGTGGCAAGGATTCTGGCTGCAGTCATTAATATCTAGGATCAAAGAGGAGATGCCCAGCTCAAGAAGCTTCCAGAACTGTTCACGGCATGTAAGAGCTGCACCCTTCCTAAGGCCACCTCCACCCCACGGTCCAAGACCAGCTGAGCAATCCTGGGACTTCGACGCCTTCCATCTTCTCCAGGAGTAAAGGAACCCTCAACTGGGTTATTTGTGACACCCCAAGGTGGCAGGACAGGGACAGGCCTCTGTCGTTCCCATGGAAGTTAACGTCAGGACAGGCACAAATTACGATCGCAACAGAAAGAGGATTACTTTCTCTGCAAGCGGGGCCTATTTATCCTAATTACAGTCTGCTGCCACAGCTCCTCCCCCGAAGCTCCTCCCCCCGGCTTCCTCGGCATTCACACGTACTAACAGGACGCAGGCACTGCTATCCCATGCCAAGAACGGTTGGGGTCTCACGGTCTCATTCCCATAAAAAAAAAAGACAAGCCTCCCATGAGGATTCTCTCCCCTCCCCCCCGCCGGCGTCCCAGAGCTGTCTGGCCCAGAAAGAGCACACACTCACTGGTTTCGCAGTAGGCCCCCTCCCAGCCATCACTACAGATGCACTTGTAGGAGTTGACCCCATCGATGCAGGTGCCGCCATTTTTACAGGGGTTGCTCTCACAGTCGTTAATATCTGTGAAATGAAGACACAAACACTGGTGAATAAAGAACACCCAATGCCATAGCCAGGCACTGGTCCCAAGGCCACCTCCTGAGAAAATGAGGGGCCAGGGGGCACCTCAACACTCTCAACTCCATCAGGACCCTTTCTTGAATTCAACAGGCAGCTTATCAGGCAGAAGCCTCCAGTCTGTTTTATTTAATGCCTCGTAGGCTAAGCTACTTGGTGGGAGTGGGGAAGAAAACTCCTACAGAAAAGTGGGACCAACCAAACTAGTAAGATTCCAGAACATAAGCGTGCCGAAGGGTCAAGGTGTCAGTGATCTCATAACTTAAACACAACTCGGTCTCAGGTCCTAGATGCAATGGTAAGCCTTCACTGGTCTCTGACTAAAGCGACTCAAGCTCAGATGCTCCCCGAGCTGGGCAGAGGCAGGGGGGGAGGGGCGCACCCAGCCCCATTCCCCGAAGAGGGGTCTTACTTTCATGGCAGTACGTTCCAGTGAAGCCTTTGTTACAGTCACAGGTGAATTTGCCTCCCGACTGACTCTTGCACTTCCCGTGGGGACCACAGACGTTCGAGGAAATATACCGCACCCCCTCGGGCGTGTCGTTGGAAGCCATGGCCACTGTGCAGCTGTCAATCACTAGAAGACAGACGCGGGATCAGATCACGGCCAAGGACCCCTAAGACACGGCATTCCTAAGCCAAGGACCTACGCCAAGCTTGCTTTCCTGGAGACAGGCACCCTTCGGCTAAGGAAGGTAAGAAATCAAGAGGCACCTCGGGGGCCAAGACTCAGACAGTGGGCCACATCACACTGTGACAGGCCAAACTGAGACTCCAGGCAGACAGAAGTTTTCTTTTTTTCCAGGCATTTTCCCCCTAGGTGGCTAAGAAGCCTACGTGTCTGTGGGCCCCTCTCCTCCTCCCTATGACATCTCAGTCTGGCAGAAGCTTGCTAAAGGAAGCAGGACCAGCTATACTTCCTGTGTAATCAGACTTGAGCAAGCGGGAAGGACACAGAATCTGTAAAGCCACGTCCCCTAACAGCAGCCATGAGACAGTGCAGAGAACAGACATTTCTACGGCCGCAGAAGGTTCTGGCAGCGCTGCTTTGAGGAATGTTTCAGTGCTGCACATCAGCCCACCCCAGATGAGGCGTGCTCTCCCCTGGGCTACGTGTGGACGTGGTTCTCCCACCAGCGGGCCTGAAGAGATGGCTTCCACATGCTCTGGCTTCCCTAAGTGGTCAGGTTAGGGGCCTCCAGTCTCACCTACATGGCTTCTGAGAACATCGAGGGGGCAGTGGCACCTGGGGCAAGAGGGCACCTTGGAGGCCAGCCTGGACGGCAGGTGGGGGAGGTACCTTCACAGGGGGTCGTGCGGCAGTGGTCTTTAAGGTGGGAGCAGTTCTTGCCCTCGTAGTCCTCGGGACACTTGCAGAAATAGTCACTGGCACGGTTGTAGCACTGGGCGCCATTCTGGCAGGGATTGGGCTCGCAATAATCTATGTCCAGCTGCACGGAGCAGGGAAGGGGGAAAGGAAACAGGTGTGACTCGAACTGCTCTGGGGCAGGAGGCACTGGAATCGGACCCCTTCACCTCCTGCCATTAGGAGAACACCCTACATAATACACAGGTACGTCCTAGAGACCGTCCAGGGACACACGGGCAAAACGGGGCAGAGTGGGAGAGCTCGGAGTCGGGGGCACAGAGTCAAATCGACAGGCTGCTGACACTATGAGGAAAACCACTCCTCGCTGTCCTTCCACCTGCATTCACCTAGCAGCAGTCCCTGGTCCCTGGATGGTAACAGACTTCATGGCGACTCCACAGAGTCAGGAGGGGATGGGGTGGCGGGGAGGGAGGGGACGGTGGGGGGCAAGAGGATGGGGAAGAGGGAGCTCTGCTGTAGAAACTTGGCCTTTGGAGGTTCTAGCACCGCTCACCTGACAGAGGTTTCCAGAGAAACCAGTGGGACACAGACACTGGAATCTGTTGATTTCATTCTGACAGTGACCCCCATTCAAACAGGGGTTGCTGGCGCATTCATCGATGTCCCTCTCACAGTGATCGCCTGCATAGCCAGGTGGACAGATACAGCGATAACCATTAACCAAATCCTGCAAGAGGAGAAGGAAGGGGGAGAAACACATGCTTTTGTCTCTGTACTCCACGAACACAGGGCTGTGACAGTCCAGCATGACTGCCAGGGTTCCAATGATCCACTGAAATCGCTTAGTGCCCAGCCTCTCGAAATGTGTGAGAGGAATTTCCAAGTGCATGCCTTTGGGATGGCTCCCAGGAGGCTGGGGGAGGGGGGGTGGCGGTTAACAGGAGCCCAAGTGAAACTTCCAGAGAATCACTTTTCACCTGCCTTTTTTAATCTCAGAGGGACAGAGCCCTCCCAGGGTCACATACACAGATTCGTGTCAGTAAGGTTTTCATTTTAAGCCAAGATTTACATACCCGACAGGAGGCATCATTCTGACACTGGCCAAGGCAGTCATTAATATCTGAAAAATAAACAAATCATATTAAAGAGGCAATTTACATTGAAATTGGGCTTAATTGAAAAGCGTTCTCCGATCAGGACAGATAAAAACCTCAAATCAGATTTCCTGTGTGCTTCCCCTGACATAAGGTTATTACACTGGGTGGGACTCCTCCCTCATCACACCAGACTGAGCGAGTGAAACTTCACATCATTGTTTTAGCCACCTTATCAGCATATGGCTGTTTTACCGGCTAATGAGCCTGATAAAGTGCCATGTTTTCATGTGCAGTGCAGACTAATCACTCCCTCTCCAAAAACACTGCCTCTCCGAGGTTTTCCTTTTACCACTCAAGTCTTCGAGCTGGAGCTGACATACGGGCTGAGAAAGCCTTCAATACCCAAGTTCCACAAAAATCAAAATCGAAACAAAGGTACTCACTTATGTCACAATTCTGACCCGTCCAACCCGGGAGGCAATCACAGTAGTAGCTCGCAATCAGATTCTTACAGGATTTGGCATTTACACAAGGTTTGGCCTCGCACTCATTTGCATCTGAAAGAAAATGTGGAGGGGCAGTGAGAAATGGAAATTTACCCCCACCCCCACACACAAAACACCCTATCGATAGTTTCTCTGAACCGGGAGACATTTTAATAACCTAGCTAAATCACAGATACTAGGTTCCCACTACTTTGAACAGCTGATCCCTCTCCCTAGCCACTACCCAATAAGGAATGCTAATTGATAACTTTCCGGCTGCTGGTTAACAACTGGCCCCCAACAGGAGAGCAGAAAGCCACCAGGCATTGCTGTGCGAAACTCGCCGCAGCCTAGTTGCTGGGATTTAAATGTGGCAGGAAGAATGCAGACAGCTCATTCCTCATGAGACCATCCCCGTTTGGAACCCAGCTGAACACTCCTCGGACAGACGATAGACATGGTTCAAGGAATCCCACGACTTTCCCACAGGGCCTAAAAGAGCTAGGCCATTTGTATTCGAGTTCTCTCTCCCAGGCCCGCTGGACTCTTGACAATAAATTACTTTTCAGTATGATGGTGTGCAAACTCACACCACTAGCCACATGCTCATCTTCCCTAACAGCTCGGGTCCTCAAAGCCAACCTTGGTGCAGGAATTTCCTTACCTAACTGGCACGTTTTGCCAGTCCACTGGGGTGGGCACACGCACTTGAATCCATTAACCAAGTCCTGGCAGGTGCCCCCGTGGGAACAGTTATTTGGAGAACAGTCATCAATATCTGTTGGACAAAAGGGAAAAGGGTTGGCAATTTAATCTCCGTCTGTTTGACAATTAGATAATTTAATGCCAACCCTCACATGAGGGGCCTTCACTTAAGGGCCAGACACCTGCTGTAAGTGACTGCTATGACGATAAGGCCTGATTTTAGCTTTAAATCCTCCACTGCCCCAGTTCATTTAATCCCCGACCTAAGCAGCAGGGAAAGCCAGCTGGATCCCCAGAGCATCGACCCACCGGGAACATGGGACATCTTGCTCTGCTTACTCTGTATTTTTAAAAGAAAAGTTTCCGCATGGCTCAGGGGTAGCTAAGAAGAGGTAAGGAAAAATAAGTCGTCTTTACTGGTAGGAAACTTCATCTCATTTGCTCACAGAGTTCTCCCCAAATTACATAGCTGGGGTCCCCACCCCCGTACTTCTGCATGGGACTATAGTGGCCTCTTCATTCATCTGCTGCCCACTTAAAAAGGATCAGGCTCTCTCTGTGAACTTGCTCGTGGGTTCTTCACAACCGTAGGGGATGGCAATTGCTCCTGCCCCGTCTAAACAGGGCCCGGGGAGGTAAAGACCAGTTCCCCAAGAGGCAGGCAGGGTGACAGTACCAGCCCCGGTGCCCCGACCCCGGAACCCACATTCTTCACCAGGCATGCTGCTCTCAGGGTCCTACCGACAGTGCTCCTCAGGCCCGGCTGCACCTCAGAAGCCCAGGTGCTTGTTACAGAATGTGGACTCCCCAATCCTGAAGAGAGACTGCGGACCCCACATCTGTACTGTCCAGCACCCCAGTGGTTCTGATGTGCAGCCAGGCCTCGCAGCCATGACAACTCCCTAGCCTAGGTCCCTCTTTTGGGGCCACCTACACCCCCGACCAAATTCAGGAGTGACCGCCTCCCCTGCGGGCAGCCGAGTCTCCATGGCGGCAAGGAGAAGAACTAGGACTCGATTCCATGGAGGCAGAGCTCCAGGGAGCACACGAGAAGCACACAAGAGGGACAGAGGTGTCCCATGGAGAAGTTTCTCCCAGTAGCCGCCACACATACTAACTTAGCGCGGTAGGGGGAGAGCGCCCGGAGACTTCCAGTGTAAAGGCTGGAAGCCCAAGCCAGACCCACCGGACACCCCTCCCACCAAGACAGACCCATCACGGAGACCTGACAATGAACCCAGCCCAGGTCCCCGCCCCCACCCCAACACTTGATACAGCGATCCCCTGGAAAAGACCCAGGCCAAAGCCCAGACTTACTTGTGGAACACGTGGGGCCCGTCCAGCCGGGAGAACACTCACACTCAAACCCCAGTGAGGTCTCCCTGCAGCTGCCTCTATTGTGGCAGGGGTCAGACAGGCAGGCGTGCTCCGCTGTGAAAACCAGGAGGGCAGTCAGCAAGGGACTCCCGCTTGTGGCTACCTATGTCCTCTCCCCGCAGCCAAGTCCCAATGCCTGGGCCACCACCAGCTCAAGCTCGCTTCGAAAAAATGAAAGCAAGCACGTGCTATAACCCTGCTGCGTCTAGGGAAGACAGGAAGGCCTCTTTGACCCCGAGTGTCTCCAGCCACATTCCAGGGCATCTCCGAGCCCGGGTCACCGCGCGGCAAACACCCCACCCCCCACGCTAGGCAGCATCGCCGGAGACCCTCGCGCTGCTTGAAGGAAGCCTCGAAGACCCACAGAACTGCTGGGATGGCAAGTCTTCACTCTGGAGGCTATTTTCATCTTTTTACGAATCCTCAAGAGTGTTGTTATTTTTTAAGCTGAGCGTACCCAAAAATTAAACGAAGGGCTCTCGGTCCGCCTGGACCACTTACCAATTTCACAGTTGGATCCTGAATAGCCCTCAGGGCACGAACACTGATACTTGTCGGGACCCGTGTTGCTGCAGGTTCCCCCGTTGAGACAGGGCTGGCGGGTCCCACAGTAGTTGAGATCTGCCAGAGACCCCCGGACGGCAGTGGCTCAGAGCGGACAGTACAGGCTGCCGAGCTGCCATGTTCCCAGCGCTGCCCCCACCCCACCCCCACCAACCAGAAAAAAAGATCCCAAACCACGGCGTGAAAGGCAAACTCTAACAGATTCAGAATGAAAACCCCTACAAATAAAAATAAAAAGAAAAAACCCGATTACGGCCGCCCCACCCCTTAAGGTCTCCGGCGTCTCCCGCAGCCCCTGTCCTGCCCCAGGGTCTGGTCCCCGAGGTGCGTACCTTTGTCGCAGAGCTGGCCGCCCCAGTTGGTCTCACAGAGGCACTGCCAGGGCTCGTTACAGGTGCCATGGACGCACCCAGGGTGCGGGATGCACTTGTCACAGTACAAGCCTTGCCAGCCGTACTGGCACCTGGGGACAGACAGCACACCCCCCCTTTAGTCCTTACAACGTTCGGGGAGATCTGTGCCCTTTAAATGCAAGGCTAAGAAGTCCAGGCCTTTCTGGTCTTGTTTCATTTTCAGTAACAGGACAGTCAGACTTGCAAGGTTTGTGCGGGGGCTCCGTCTAAACAAACATTTTCGGTGGTTGGGCTGAGGTCCCCTCCCAGGCGACTCACGACAAAAGCAGAGCTGTCTGGGGAGAGGCCGGCGGGGGCTGCCCTCACAAAGCCACTCTCTTCTCAGGCTCACAGGGCTGGGCGAGGGTGGGGGCGTGGAATAAATCAGTTCAGGGCCCAGCCAGCTACGGAGGCCACGGAAGGACTCTCGGGTGACAATAGCCGTGTGACAGTCTTCGCAAAGGCGGCCTGGCTCTTTGTCTAAACAGCAAGTCACGACCCCAGTGCTCAAAAAATGCAACAAGACACCCAGGGCGGCAGGAAGCCGCCTCCCGATGAATCAAACAAGCGGGGGAAGGGGGCACCCTCCTCTGGCAAAGAGGCGGCGAAGATCTCGGAACCCACTTCTGCAGGAGAGTGAGGGAAGCCACAGCACTTGGAACCAATCCCATAGATAATTTATGACCCACTACCAGGGCTGCTTACGCTAATTCATTTTATAGTTATTTCTCACTTTGGGGCGGGGGGAGGTCAACTCGGTTTATCTAGTATTGGGGAACAGAGTCAAATTTCCTTTATAAGTGCCTCATTAATTGGACTCTTTTGAGGCCAAATGGTGCCTTTGATCCCCAAACAAAAACACAAACATAAACCTTCACCTGGGGTGGGTGAGAGGGCAGAGCCTCCGCCACCCTACCCTCAAGTTTCAAACCCTGGGAAACTCTGACTGCCCTCTCAAAACTCGAGCTCTGACAAACAGGAGAAAGCCCGGGGATGGTGGGGATGAGCATGGAACAGGGATGGGCAGAGCATTTCTAGAACAGGACCTGGGAAAAGCCACAGTGAGAACGACCAGCACCCTCCCCCAGCCCGAGCCACTCAGCTGTAACGTTGGAAAACAAGCACCCTCAAGAAGGGAAGGCTTTCCGTTTCCAGAGAGCCAGAGGCAGGCTAGCAAATTCTTATCCTGGGAAAATTATAGGGATCCAGCTAATAGCTAATCACCCATGGCCAAGAGTCAACTTAACCCCTGAGAACACTGACTAACCACTTCCTAACTTCCACAAACAAGCTGTCCACACCCCAATTCAAAGAACCCCCAGAATGTGTGGTTTAAACTGAATCAGACGGAGGGTTTGGCTTTATGTAAAACAGAACAGCAGCCTAAATGACCGTGACCATTCAGAGCAGTAAGAAAAAAAAAAATTTCTACCGAATTTTTTTTTTTTTTTAAATAGTGGGGACACTCAAGTTAGCGGGACTTGGGGGAAGGGGTTTCATTCAGTAAAAGATTATCTTAGCTTGAAAGCTATTAAGAGGGAACTGATTTGGAAATAGCAGTATTTACTGTGTTCTCTAACTCCCTTCCAAATTATGGATGGCTACACCTCTTCAATTTGCCTAATAAAAGCAAGAAAAGGCAGCTGAGGACCCAACCTCACCTCTTAATTAATGAGAGCTGGATCCCCAAGCATAAAGAAGAAACCACAAGAGGCCATGGATGACTTCAAAAGAAAACAAATAAAAATACTGACCCTAAAAGAGGCATCCACAAAGTTATCCCAGTTTAATAATATATGATTAAGGTTCTCATGAGAATTTGAAGTGACTTTCCTCATACGATGATTCATCATTAAGTTTGATATTATTGGCAGGCTTGCAATAAAGCAAGCATGTGCACCCAGGAGAAGGAATCTAAGTCTACTTGGGAACAACAAAACCAGTGAAGTTTTCTCATGTGGGGATTAAAAACAAAACAAAACGAAAACAAAAACCCACTGCTTCTGTAATACATAACCCATAAGACAACTTACAGGTAACTCGCCACTCAACTATTTCTGGAGCAGGACGCAACCTGAACTTCCTCAGCTAGAAGGTTTTTTGATTTTCTTTCAAGGTAGGCAGAACAAGATGGGCTGGGAGACTATGCAAATGACGTGTGGGAAAATCGCACCTTAAGTAAATAAGGGCACTGGTGCGTGTCTGGGCAGGGAGTGGGAGGGGAGACTTCGAAAGAGAAAGGGCTAAATTCTGGAAACAAAGCCTGTTGTTCTGGCTGGGAGGGCCCTCCCCTGCGCAGTGGCCTGCCCATTCTGATGACAGTAGCAGAAATCGCGGTCGGCCTCCACTGATACTCATCTGAGCGGGGAGCGGGCCCAGAGTCGCTAATAACGCTGCCGATCTGACATTCTCTAGAACACCCTTAATTAAGAAGGGTGAAGGCAGGTGGATTCCTGCTCGAACTTTGACAGCAACGCTGTCAAATACGACACTCAGTGGCCACCAGTGCGGCTTAGTAGGCGAACCCCCACAGCCTTCCAGAAAATAAACTTCTCTCTCAAGTGGAGGAAGAGACCGTTCCAGGTCACCCTGGTTTTATTTTACTTCCAGCTGCCTTAGTTCTTAGTTCTTCAGTGTCAGGCCTCAGAGCCCAGTGCCCTCCCGCTGCACAGGAGGGGAACAGATGCGGTGGTGGAGACGCAAAGTAAAGACCCCAGAGAATTCTCTGTAAAGCAGAAGTCCTCCAGATACACGGAGCAGCACGATCATTTGGTGGGCTCACCAAAATGCAGATTCCTGGGCCAAACCCTGGCCTGGGATTCAGTGGGTGTGGGGTGGCACCCGGGAATCTGCATTTCGACAGCTCCTCTGTTAAATCGGGGAATTAGCGACGTGGGCACTGAGGTTTGGGGCAGCAATTCCCAAAGTATGGTCCTACCAGCAAGAGTGGTGTCACTGGGGGGCGCGTTAGCAATGCAGAGACTCGGGCCCACCCCGACCTGTGGACTCAGGCTCTGCATCTTAAGAGCTCCGGGTAACGTGAGTTTGAGATGCACTGGTTTAGACGGTTTTGTAGGCCTCCCGTGGCTCAAACCAGGGTGGCTTCTGGGGCACAAGTGATAGGCCCCAAGGACCCTTTCAGTGTCACACTAGATGTGCTAATCCTTCAGATCTGGGAGGAGGGAGAGTAAAGTGTGAGATTGTGTCAGAATGCCACGGACACCAACGCCGTTTCCTGAAACAAGCCTTTCCCAAATGGGCATAGTGTACGTTTCAAGAAGGTTCCAAAAACTGTAATCATGAAGCAGTCGGGGTGGGTCTCTGTTTGGCTTCTGCATTGTCCGGGACCATAAAAGACCAGACTTCAAAGGCCGGCAGCAAAAGTCTACATTCATCAGGCTCAACTGACAAGATTCCAGCGCAGCCATTAACCTCTCAGCACCGGCCGGCTCCCGCCTGCAAAGGGGCCAGGAGATTGTACTAATCCCGTTCTAAAGAATGCTCCGCTGTCCCCTAGTGATGGGAAAAGTGGGGGAGGGCTGGGAGACGGAAAACCAGGTTGGGAGAGGAGACAGACGCAAAGAAACCCACATCCCTCCATCTCATCCATTAGCACTTTAAGGGGAAGATTATAAAAACGTGTTATCAATTTACAGAACAGTTAATACATGACGTCACCAACTATGCCCATAAGAGTTTTTTCTCTTCCAAGAGAGAAGTGCGCACATTCCACCAGACAGCTGGTATAATTTAATAAGCTTCGGATGTGCCTATTTGACTTTTTTTTTTTTAAGCTTTCTTGCCCTCCAAAGAAAAAGAGGCATATTCACAATAAATTCAGTCCCCCTCTTGCATTAAAGGATTAAAAAAAAAAAAAGTTTAGTCATTTACCTGCAGTCACCTGGGAGTTTGCAAGACCCATGCTTGGGACTACAGCCCTGTCGGCAAATAGCTGTAAAAACAAAACAAAACAAAACAAACACAGATGAGTCAAGCACACTGTTTCTTGCACCACCACCATCATGAGAATGGCCTAGCACATTAAGCCTACAAAATCCACAACTTTCAGAGATCTCATGTCAAGTCCATTGTAAGGAGAGGAAGATGGGAGGTGCCCAAACAGCAAATCCAGCTTTAAATTTCAAGGCCATGCTAGCAGATCTTCAAAACATGATACTACTCAGGGACAAAATGCAGGCAAGTCGATGGGAGGAGGTGGGCGGGGGGGGGGGGGGGGGGGGGCGGTCTTCATCCAGTCTCTCTCAACAATAGCTATCCTGCTCCCTGTCAATTCCCACCCTCTCCAAAAGAACAGAAGCTGTGATCCCTCCTCATTTCAACCGCTCTGTCCCATGAGGGGCACATTCAGAGGAGTCCCAGCCTCCTTAACCCCCACACCCCCACCCCCTAAAAACGTCTGATGGTTCAAAAATCCCATGGGACTAACAAAGCCAACCAGGCTGACTTCATTTGGCAGGCTAAATCCAGAGGCCAGGTCGGGTGGTACTTTTGCAAAGTATCCTCGCAAAGCAATTCTGCTTCCTTTATTTAAAAAAAAAAATTTTTTGAACAGATGGTAAAAAATACTAAACATGGTTTTTAAGTAATTGTTCCTGATTTTTAGAACACCAACTACTTTAAGTACATTTGCCAATTCTTTCATTTGGATCCCAGAAATGCCATCCTTTTAAAACTCTAGTGATTTAAGAAAAGCTCAGGAGACCTGCAAATTCCTCTTTGTCCTGCCCTTCAGTCACAATTCAAAAACTCCCTTTTTAATTTGAGTGCATCCTGAAAGAATTTACCAAATTAGGTGAAATAAGCAGAGTACAGTCATGTTTGGAGGGCCTACTCTGGTCAATGAGAATTACCCATTTACTAAGAATTAGAAGCTTTGTAAAGGTACAAACCACAGATGATGCTGTGAACATCTGTGACTATGCAGTTAAGTCCCTGAATCCCAGTAGAAGGGCTGGGACAACGGACAGCACATCTGCAAGCTTACACTGCTGTGATGGGTCCAACTCTACACGAGTGTGAAAGCTCGGGTTCACCACTCAGCCCTTCCCCCTCAATGCCATGGCCCCCGAGATGCCCCATGAAAGCTCGCCACAGGCCACATGGAGCTCAGGGGCGTCATTTCCTACAGGATCACAAGTTCAGGCAAAGAGCTAACCCTGTCCCATTTGGCATCTGTTTTGGGTCAGGTTCCTTAGAAGCAGAGCCTGACACAAGGATCTGGGTATAGGAGAAGGGGGCTGAAGGCAGCAGATGGGGCAGGGGAAGGAGCTGAGCAGGGGGTCTCAGCTGGAGTCTGACTTCCACTTGATCCCAGAGGAAGCCCTGGAGTGTGAACTGTAGCATGGAGTGCAAGAAGGTTGGCCGGGGGTGAGGTGCCTGGCCTTTGCACCTCCATCCAGTCATTCACAGACTGTGAGCTGGAGGGAAGGGGCATGGAGTGCCTGTTTGGCCAAGGCCAATGCTCTAGAGAAGAAACAGCTGTGAGCTGTAGCAGCCAACACGGGGGGTGGGGTGGGGGGGGACACCAACAGCATCTTTGTGCCTCAGGCCTAGAAGAACAGCCCAAACATCTCCCCATCCCCCCACCTGAGACAGCCACTTGGCTGGGTGGGGACAGAACCTGACCCCAACGGCGACAGCCCCTCAGAGCTGGTAATAACCCACGCAGGTTATGACAGGCCCACGCACCTCTGTTACACTCTGGGCCCATCCAGCCCTCCATGCACGTTTTGTTGCCATTCAGGTCGCAGGCATAGTGTCCAAAGAAGTCATCTCGGGGTCGGCAGAACTTATTGCAGCCAAAGCCGTAGTAATAGTCATCACAGGTGACGCGGATCTGATACTCAAAGTGGGCAACCCCTGTGTTCTGCTTCAGCGTTTGCCACTGCCTACTGGGGTTTATCATGCCCGAGTGGGAAGCCTTCTCAATAATGCTGTCAGGCTCTAGAGGCAAAAAATAAATAAAAATTAAAAAGCATTGACTGCATCAACAATCAGAGCCTCTCCCCTGACCATTTTGCCTATTTCACAACAACGAAAACAAAGGTACGGGGTACAAAATGCGAACAGTATTCAAAAGGGCAGAAAAGTACAAAGTCTGTCCCGCTCCCCAGAGGCAACTGCCTTCACATTTATTTACCCTTGTTAATGGGTGCATAGTATTTCCCCGTCTGGGAATACAGTGAAATACATTCACCTAGTTCCCGACAAAGGTGCATTTAGGTTATTTTGACATTTTACAATTCAGCCAAGCCACAACGAACATCCTTGAGCCCATCAGCCCGTGTGTGTGGTTCTAGCAGTAAGAGACCTTCTAGAAACGGAAGTGCACCCAATCTGCGTCCATCCAGCCAACCACAAACTGCCACGAATGAAGCCCCATCAGCCTGTCGTTCCACCTGCACGGGAAACTGGGTTTCCCAACAGCGATGCCAACACAGTATAGATTATCCAACTTTCTGATCTCCGCCTGATAGGTAAAGAAGTAGCTCTTACTTTAATTAGCATTTAATTAAGGGATGGTGAGCACCCTTCCACGTGGTTACCAAGCCATCTGCAGCTGTTCCTGCGAACTGTGACCTGTTTCTCTCCTTTGCCAAGTGTTCTATTGCCGTGCTGGGCATTTGCAAAAGCTCTTTACATATTATAGAAAGCACCTGATTCCAGGTAAAGGTTAGCAAGCCTGCTCTTCTGGTTTTAGAGTCTCGGATCTTGATTTAGAAAGAATTGGTCTACCTTCCAAACTCTTCACTAGAAGCCAAAGGGTAGAGTTAGGTTTTTAAAAAATGATAAACTTTGCCACCTTGTCAGCAGCTGGCCCTTGTGACACGGACTTGAAGCATCTCACCTTTCACCTTTGCCCAGAAGGCAGAGGGGGAAAGGGACACACCCCAGTTTAGAGACAGATAGCTTGGGGGTTTTTCTGAGCTAAGTCATGCTCCTTAAAAGGTGCCTATTGGAAATGAACACGCCCAGAGCTCGGGCAGCCAGCTCTCACGAGGAGCAAGAAGTGGTCCTGCCCCGAGGTCACTTATCATCTAGTCTGAGAGAACAGCCAGGTACCACGTGCCAGGAGTCCAGGGGAGGGACGTGAAAAGGAAGCGAGGCACGAAGTCACACCACAGCCTGATCTGGGGTTTTGTTTTCTTAAACCTGCTGGCACCAACCCTTCACCACCTTGTCAGACTCGAGGCCACCTCGGAGAGCCCGTATTAGGACCTACTCGCAACATCTGTGGTTCTTACCCACCCACGCCCCTGTTGTTCTAGGCCCAGGGCCTGCGCTAATTTACAAGGTTATGCAAAGCCAACAGGTGACCAGGGGAGGAGGAGCTGAGGGGCTCCTTCCACACAACTCCCAGCTTTGCCCTAGTGTTCACCCTCTGGCTTTAACTGTCGTGTGGGCAGGACAAGCCTTGAACAAGCCACATACCTGCGGACTCACACCCCAGCGCACACAGAACCACTTGCAGATAACACTTCCCTAACATGAAGTTTTACAAATAAACACAGGCTGAAGAATGACAAAAATGTCCCTCCGTTAACTGTGTGTGTGCTCTGCTCGTTCAATTAAAAAGTGAAGCGAGCTATTACCATGTGATTAGGAGGCCTTAATAAAGGAATTATTTAAACACATGGCTCAAAGGCCTCCAGCATCTCTGGGGCAGGTAACAACCACAAACAACTCAGCCGAGAGTCCAGGGCAATCCTAAAGGCACACGCTGAAGGGTCTTTTTCAGTAGTTTGGTAGGCTTTCCACCCAGGTCTAAAAAATATGAAAACGATCATTTCGGAATCCTCCATGTGGCTAACAGATCAGTAGAGCTAACTTCGCAGCTGTGTGGCAGGTTTCTCCCAGCAGGCCCAGAGGCAGGGAGTCGGGGGTGTGGGACATGCTGTCTGGCATCTGGGTTATAGAGATCACGTCTGCTGCCTGCTTCTTCCAAGCTGCCGCCCTGAATCGTACTTCCTCTCAGCTTGGGGCATAGAGGTGTAACCAGGGGTGGGGTGGGGGGGGGAGGAATAGTTCACTTGGGAGTCCAGCTTTATGACTGAAAAAGGATGTTAGCAGACCCTCCTGTGATCTTCAACTGTGTGAAGATGGAGCACAAAGCCCCCACCACAGCCTCACAGGCCAAGGTGGAGGTAATGAGGCGAGTCAGAGCACAACCCCGGGGCCACACCAACCCACAAACCTAGGACAGGAGCATCGTCAAGATGGCTAAGCTAGGAGGGAACCCTGGTCTGAGTAAGCTTATTTGTGCTGACGTATCTCCAGAGCAGTCCCATAAACTGCAATCATTTGCACTGGGGGAGACCGAAAAATTTGTACCCTTATCTAGTGCAGCTCTGAAACAGAAGAGAAAGGATCTCAGAGGATGGACGCCAGGAGGGCCAACCTTAGACAATACTCTAACACACAAACGGTACCTGGGCTTCCTCTGGGCCAGCCTCTCTCTGCAGAGCCCACGTGAGAAGGAATTCTCCATCCTAAAACTCAGGGCTCTGCCTCTAGGCTGAAGCCAGGATTTTGGCAACTTGTTCGGCCCCCAAAGAGCAGCCAACTCCATCTGGGTTGCTCCACATCCTTGGCCTTTGCCCTCATGGAGTACCAGTCCCATGGGAGGGACAGAGGGTAAAGAGAGTAATAAGCAAAACATTCCAGGCAGTGCAAACAGCATGTGCAAGGGCCCTGCGGCAGGACAGAATGAGAGGACGCATCGGAGGACAGAACAGTGACTGGTGGAATAGGACCAGAATCCGGATATGGTAGAGGACAACATGGGACGGAGTTAGCAGGGAGACAAGACGGCTGTGCAAGGCCTTTTGCGCCGCACGAAGAGCTGTCCCAAGAGCCACAGGAAGCAGCCAAGTGGCTCTTAGTGAAGCTAACCACCAAATAGAATCAAGATGTACACCAGAAACTAACAGAGGACGTTGTAGGTCAATCACATTTACATTAAAAAAGAAAAAAATGCCCTGGAATGGAGGATGGAGAGGCAGGAGGATGGAGAAAGCAGTGGAGGTGGGCCAGAGCAGATATGGATCGACTAATTCGGCCACCACCATAGGAGTTCAGGCGTCAGCAGAGGGTGACTTGACTAGCATAGTGGCAGGGGACATGGCAGGACGTGGCAGGACTCCAGTGCGGCACCGGAGAGATTTTTCAGAACCTGGAGGTGGATTCGATATGGATGCTCAGAGAGAGGGAGGTACAACAGGGTGTCCTCCAGATTTCTGGCTCATGGTACTAGGCGTTGAAATGCTGGTGCCAGTCATCCATGAAGGGCCCTAGGCAGGATCTCATTTGGAGAGAGAAGATGCCAAATATGGTTCTGAATGTGAATTCAAGATCCTTTGGAAGCACTGTAAAAAGAGAGGCTGAATAAGCCAGTGGCTTATTCACTCCTCTTTGGGGTTCACTAAGTGAGCTTCAGTGACCTGCAGTAGGGCATTCCAGGACTTTGGGGCAATTCCTATTCTTCAAGAGTAGAGGTCTGAAAACTCCTTGTCCCTACAAGTCTTCCTTGTGCCCTTCCAGTGACCTGGTGGGCCCCTCCCCAGCAAGGAAATGCCCCAGAACCCCAAAACAAGGCTACCCTGAAATGCAGACTGCCGTGGGCAGCTCTGGAGAGGCACCAGCTTCCCAGGGGCACAGCTACCTGACCCATGGGGTGAGGGAAGGCCCAGGAAGGGCCCTGCAGGGGCTAGGTATCCTGCACGCCCTAACAGGTGTCCTGAATTAGCTCTTGCCACAAGCCAGGATCCATCTCAAGGACGTTCACTCTACCAAACTCTTAACATCTCAACAGGAAGGGAAGGAGAAGCCACATTGGCACCAGAGTATCTGATGAGTCTATTTCCCCCCTACCCACCCCCCATCTCCCCAATGCTTAGTTACCACTGTAACCAGGTCACAGCGACACCAGGCTCACACAATCTCCAATGCTTGTGGCAGGGGAGGGAGAACACACAGGTGTCTGTGACCTTGACTGGCATCGGCCACAACCACTGCTGGTTACCCCCCTCCCCTCCCACCACACCACAGAGGGACTGGGGATCCCCCTCAGGGAAGAAGTCCACAGATCTGGGCTTTGATGATGTTGAAGCAAGAGGAGGGACCCAAATGGCCTGCAGCCGCAGGCACACCAGGGCTCAGCAATAATTACATGGCCCTGGGGGGCCCCCAATGAGCCAGACTCAGCCTGAAGCAGCCCGCCTCACAAGTACCAAGCCCTCACTGGGCCCACTCTGGGCACTCGCCATTCTCAGATCCGCTTAAAAAAAGAAGGCATGGTGAGAAAACGAGGGGAAATGTTATCAGCAGCAAAAACAAAGAAAGGGTCAGTAAGGTAGAGATGCGAAAGGGAGGAGACATTCAGAGAAGGGAGGGCAAGGACAAAGAGTTGGATCAACCCTTCCTCCTACGCAGACTAAGGGATTTCAGCATGAATCAAGTTTTCCCAGGACAACCCTCCAGATCCTGCCAGCTAAAAGGAAGCGCGGTTTCCACACGTGAGGGAAATCGCCTTTAAGTCACATTTAAAGAGCAAAGACTACCCCATGTAAGCCAGGCTACTGCCATTTCCAGACACACCCTCTGTGACTTCCCCACCAAAAGCCACCCCCCGCAGCTCTGAAAGGCAACCTGCCCTGAAATAGTCCTCGTTCAGAAGGGGCCGAGGCAGCCGTGGTGCCTGTGAGGCTCTGGGATTCCACTTCAATGAAAGGTGGGTCATGCCCAGTGTGGGAAAGAAACCCCCACCCACCGGCTAGAAGCTCACCTGCCCACCAAGTGAAATTCAAGGTCGGTCTTTAGATTTAGAGCCCAGCTCCACCTTTGCGGGCTTTATCTTCCTGATGAGAGATTAAACACTCACTTAAAGTTTAAATGGACTTTTAAAAAGTCACTACTTTGATCCTTTAGCAGTCTACAAGGTTTTAAAGTTGTAAAACCATTAAGATCGCTATCCTAAAGATAATCTAGGTCCCATATTCAGGGACTCAGTTAACTGGGACTCTGTCCCGGCCACTTAATATTCCAAGCGGACATTCTAGGGGAGGTTGTAGAAAGGACTCCACGGAGCAGTTCACCATGGGGGGCGGGGGCGGGCAGGGCGGGGAACGGGGTGGGTGCAGACAGCAGGGAGTGGCCCAAGTCCTCTGAAGCACTCAGGAGACAGATCCAGCTCTGACACTACCATACTCCAAGCACTAGCTTCCAGAAAGACACACCCGGAGGAAAGCCCATTGCTGTGATACTTACGGAGAGTGTCGTTACTGGAATCCCACGCTTCCACAAGCAAAGTGTAGGACCTCTGCAACACAGAACAACAGCAGCTTAGTATCCAGAAATAGGGATCAGCTCCCAAATGTCCTACTTGCTTGGCCTCCCCTCATACCTCGCCAAATAAAACCGTAAAGTCAAAATGAAAACTCTGTTTGCTGTGGAACTGAGGTCCCTCCCCTCCCTGGCACCCACCCCCAGGCGGACTCCTTCCACCTGGCGGGGGCCCACTGCGTGTTGGTCATCGTCCTCTTACGCAAGCAGCCCAAAGTCATGATCAGGAAATACCACCTCCCTGTATGTGAACACTCTAAGTTTTCCAAAACTTTCCAGACCCCTAACGCTAGTGCAAGAGAAAAAGAAAAAAAAACCCACAAAGAATTTCTTCAAGCTAACCTAACCAGGTATTTGTATTGGGGGTGGGGGGGGCATCTAGTGAGGAGGGCCGGGTATTGCTAAGGTTACACTTTGGGCCCTGGTGGGGCAATCCCTAGGGAGGCCCCCTTTTCCTTTTCAGAACCCTTTTGAAAGCCCTGTCTGTGCAAGACCATCTCAGCTCCCACAAGTATCAGGTGACTCTAGGAAGCAGGGCGGGGCGGGGGGGTAGGTAGGTGCAAAGAGACAAAGGCGGCGACCCAACTTGGGGTGCTTGGGGGGGCAGACTCTGGGGACGAAAGTACAAAAGGGAGAAATAACCGCACACCCATAGGTTATAGCTATTGATGGACTTATCTGTCAATAAGATCTAACATTCCAGGAATAATCAGAGTCCACTAACTAAACAAATTCCCTGGACACTGGCAGGATGCCAGCTATTATACTGAAGGCACCTTTTATCTTCCAGGCTTATCTTGGAATTCTACCCCCCACCCCCAATCCAAGCCATTAGCAAATTCCCGCTTTTACTCAAATCTTCATTTGTAATTTAAAATGAGGTCAGTCTCACAAAACACCAGGGTTTAAATAAACCTGCTATCTTGGCGCTGGAGAAGGCTATCGGAGGGGGGGTGGGGGAAAAAAAGTCCCTCCTCCTCTGTATCCCTCTTGTCACCGACAGATATCAGTGCATCGGAAATAGCAAATTGAGCACATTGCTCAAATAATACCCTGCGCCAGAAACACCATCACCAAGAGAAGGCACCTACAAGGGGAGGCGAAAGTGGAGCAAAAGAGAGAGAGAAAAAAAAAGTGCTTCATTCATAACTCTAGGCAAGCTTACTGCTCACACACAGACACAGCGTGTTGTCTCCGAATATAAAAATATCTTGTGATGGACCCTGCCTTGGAATTCAGCCGAAATATGTTTCATACTAAAAGCAGAGCAGGATTCCATTTCGTTCACTGATAACTGTGGGAAAATGCTCAGAAAAGCAAGCAAAACCAGGCAAGCCGGGGCACATACCCAGCCCTCTCCTGTTTGGTGGCCCTGGGTCCAAATTCATTGTTGTCGTCATTAATATTTTATTAGTAAAAGTTACACCTTATTTACAGCCTCTAAGTTTCCTGGGACTAACTACACATTACAGGACTCTTCCCTGAGAGCAGCAAGAAATTACATTTCTCCACTGATTGGAGGGGAGAGCCAAGTCCAAATGAGGCCAGATGTGGGGCTGTTTCTGTATAATTAAGCCTTTCGGTCACTGGCCACGTCGAGACCCATGTTCTCTACTTCCACGTATTGTTGTAATTAATCCTCTGATTAAATGCATTGATACTCGTAGTTCTGACAGACCCGGACAAGCGCTCAACATGTCATCGCCACAAACCCTGCAGAAGGGGAAGGCGTGCCAGGCCTGAGCTGGCATGACAGTATTAATTCTGCTTCAGGCTCAAAGGAGGAGGCATCCTTCCGTCCTTGCACAAGAGCCTGGAAGACCAAGCTGTGTCCCAGGCTCCTCCTCACCGGAGCTGGGAAGACCTCAGGAGGTGCTGACCAACACTGCCCAACCTTGAGGGAAGAGAGTTAAGCAGAGCGGCACCAGAGCTCAGGGACACCAAGTGTCACGATCGTCCATGAACTGCCTTCTCAGAGGTGGACAGGGGGTGAGGGCTGGGGGCTCCAGCATTGGCACCAAGGCCTTGCCAAACGAAATAAGTAAGACTCTCTGGACTGTCTCACTCTCCCTGGTTTCCGAGAAGGGCCGATGCTTCCGGGCCTCACCTCCCAGGGCAGGATTCCTCCCACCCAGCCTTCAGAAGATAGGATTCCCTCCAACATCCCTATTAGGAGGCCTCTTACCTCCCACTCCAACCCCACACTATAGATCAACAATCAAGATAATTTGGTAATGATTATTTGTTGCTAGGAACTTTAATTTTTCCCAGGCCCATGCTTGACCTCTGTACATCCCAGAATATACATCCAGACTTGGGAAATCCAGACCATGCACTTTATGTCAGATTAGGCCAGTACCAGACTAAAAATCGGATGCAATCTGCTAGGATCATGTCACCCCCAATTTGTAACTGCAAATCTGACCCCCAGCAGAGGCCAAGCCGCTAGGCACCCCCCCAAGGGCTTGGAAAGAGGGTGCCAGGCCAGATGATGGGCAAGTGTCCAACTTAACAAGTTCATACAAAAATACCACCCACAAGAAACAGAAATAGCAAATACCTGGATTTTTCTTGGTTTTACACTACAAAAGAAAGACTAGGAAAGTCCCCTTGCTTTCTTCTTTTTTCGTAAATCTCCCCAGAATGATGAGGGCGGGGGAGGGCAAAGCGGGAGGGTGGGGGGAGCTAACAGAACTTGGGTGTGGGTTTGCGCCTCCCCCTTCCCACACCTCCAGGCCCAGGGCAATCTGGCCACAGAGGCTGGTCCTCGTGCTTGGGGAGCAGGAAAGAGGAATGGCCAGCTCTCAGGACAACCTTTGGGGAGGACTGCCATGGCCTTTTACCTAGAGGAGGGGCCTGGCCTCCAACTCCCCAGGCGTCCCAGGCGTCCCAGGGAGGGCTGCGGCGGGCGGTGTCCTGCGCCCATCTGACTCCACAGTGGTTACCTTGGCACCGGGCACAGGGCTAAGCACTTAATTGCCACATTAAGAAGGGGGATGTAAGAAACAAAGGTAATTGTGTTGGCAGCTGGGAACTTCCTTTTCCTGGCAACAGTGGCAGCCAAACCAAGCCCTGAGAAGAGACTGCTTCCATTCCTGCCAAGCTGACGGACACAAACAAACCGCCATCCAAACGGCACGCGAGCGGCGTCCAAAACCCCAGGCCGCTGTGCTGGGCGGCTGGGGAGCCCACACTCTGGGGATGCCCGACGTGCCCGGGGGGGGGCCCATTGTGCCAGGCGGCCAGCCCCGGGGTTGGTCTGGGGCCCTGCGCTCTGCTGACTCAACTGTCGCTTCCTGTCGCGGGCCCTGTATTAGCAGTATTTTTTGGAAAGGCTGCATTATTCTCTGTAATCCTCATTTCAGTCAATTCGGCCACACTATTGTCCTGCCTGTGTCTGGGTGGCCACAGTATAAAATATTCCAGTCACAGACATATTAAATAAAGGCTTCGGAGATCGCATGTGTGGGCGCACGCACGCTCACACGAACAATTCACGGGTCCCACGGCTGTGGCAACGGGAGGCTTGAAGAGAGGACAACTGCCCCACAGCGGCCAGGCTAAGACGACTTCAGCCGGAGACGGCAATTTAGTCTGCGGGGCTTGACATTTCAATAGAGTCCTATCTGGTTACAAAGGGTGATTTTCTCATGAAAGCCCACCTCAAAGACTCACCAAGTGGGCCCCACAGCTCATATCCAGATTGGAGGCTGTCCATGAGATGCCCCCACCCCCTTTCCCATCATTACCCTTACCTGTTTGAAAAGCATCCCACTGATAATTAAATGCACCAGTTACAAAAGGGTGGCGAGGTTAATAGATAGAATACCGAGAAGCCAGCCAAGCACAACCGTCCGGTTCACACAGAGCAAGCCTGAACAAGAAGCCTTTCTACTTATTTACCAAAAGTGCATAAAAACTAGGCTGAGCTGGTAGAGGACTCTGAACGTTTGACTATTTATGTACCACTTTTAACCACTGGGAGCCACGTTGCAGAACTTCTTCCCTGCACATGTACTGCCCCAGTGACAAATATCGCGGGCACCATGAAGACAAGGGCCACAGGGCAGGGCAGTCCCTGCTGTGGTCAGAAGCAAGCAAGGAGCTCACAACACGGCCACTCAGCACCACAAGCCAAGATAAAGTTGGAGCATTTCTGAATGTGGAACCCTGTCCCATCTCTGCCACCGTTTTAGGAATCGCAAGAATCATCACTTCCCGTGCATCCTAATAGATCTTCCTAAAGTTGAAAAGTAGGTTAAATGTACTTTGTTCTAATTTTTTAAGTGTATTTAAAAGCTGGAGCCAAGTGTCCCTTCTCTCAGAAGGAACACACTTAGAGTTTACCAAGGGGGGCTGCTCTGGAATATTTGCCTTTATGGATGATATGCTAACTATATGCACATCCAGAGATTAGTTACTATGTAAGAATGCATAATCTGGAAAGCTGGACATTGGAACCAAGGGCTGGCCCTTTACAATGGGCTGGTGGCTGCTGTGAATCCAGCCACGGCCTCTGTTTGCATCCCTGTTTTCAGCTCAGGAACATGAAGACTTCTTATTGCCTTGGCTACAATTCTTCATGAAGAACATTTTTCCTCCATGCTAAACTTCCCACACTCCTTCTGCCCAAAGGGTCCCTTACCGCTCTTCGCTATAAAGATTTTAGGCAGTATTCAGATCGCTGGTTTTCAGGGGAGTGACATGCCTGTAAGAGGCTGATGCCGCTCCTCCTCACCCCAACGGCCTTGGTGCCAAAACTTCACTGTTCCCCACAAATGTCTGAAGTCCCTGTAGAATTATGGGTGTGGAGTTGGTGGGTTGCAAAGTCATACAAGTACTGGAGGTTTGAATAAGTTGCTAAGAAACAAGACAATAAGGAGGAAGAAAACAGAGCAGTTTACACCTGGAAGAGAAAAAAAAATTAGAAACCAAGTACCTTGAATGGTGATTTCATTTGGGGAACGGCCATTCTGCAGACACATAGCACAAAGTGAGCACAGGTTCCCCTCCCCCACCAAGCCTGGTTTTGTAATGCAGACATGTCATTTCATCACTTTAATTTGACACAGGTGTCAGAGCAGAAGAGGTTTTCTCCACATGAGCACAATCCCTTGCTCTGAGCACTTACACTCCTGGGCGCGGTCTGTCTGCATGCACTGTGGCCACATGGGTTGTAGATACTGGCTGCTGAAAGGAGCCGGTTCAAATGAGAACCCCATCCCTCCACCCTCCACACCACACCCACAGAGGTGCAGGGACCCAGAAACACAGCAGAGGGCAGGAAGACAAGGACATGTCAATTATATTCTGTGATGAACCTTGGGGCATCTGATTTACCCAAACTCGTGGCAGTTGTTCAGTCAGGCCTTAAGCGTGAAGGGGGCCAAAGCTGGCATCCCTCTGGTATGCAAGAAACACACTTCACGGGATTTCCCTGAAAAACTCAGTTGTTCTCAGCAGCCTTTTATCATGGTCAATGGCGTTTAAATAGGAGGCCAAGAAGAGACCAGATACGTCAACTGCTTCCCCCCAAGTTCCTCTAGATGCACTTCACTGCAGGGCCTGCAATGCATCAATTCAGCGAACTGGGGTTCTGGAATTCCTAAAAAGCTTCAGGGGCTGGGTAGTGGTAAGTACACTAATGGATTTTTAATAAGCAGGTACTACCGGGATTTAGCACTAATTTTGGGAGGTGCAACTTAACCATTTCAATGACTTATAAATGGTTACTCCCAAATCACTTCCCGTTGAGCCCAATTACCTTCCATAATGTATGTTCTTATCACTGGGTCCCCCTGATTGGAGGGTCATAAATGAGGCCAGTTGCTTCAAGTCAAAACCCTGTGAGCACAGCACTGGTATGGGGATTAGAAGCCACCAATGAGAACCACGAGCCTGGGGCTGGGACAGCAGACATTCAGTGGAACACAACCAGATACTATCCAATGGGCAGACCCACCTCTACAGAGCTCCCCACGTGGACACTGGAATGTGGACTAGATTTCAAATGTGACCGCTCATTTCCTCTTCTTCCTCTCTAGAACATGAACAGTTTGACTGAGTTTGTAATTCCCAACAAAGACATGAATTATACCACCTTCTAAACTGACCTTCTACCGTGCACCCTGGACCACAGCTCTTCCGTGGTCAGCACATTTGGGAGGACCCATGCGAACAGTAACCGGGACTGCCTAAGGGTCTGGGGCGCAAGTGGCTGGAAGTCCAAGGTGGTTTGATTAAAAAAAAAAAAAAAAACCCAGATCGTCTTTTCATCTTGAATTCTGTACCAAGTTCAGTTATTACTTATTCAAGAAAGTCAGTTTTAAATAGACATGCTTATTAATATTCAATTGCCAAACTGAATGAAACTGCTCTATGTACATCAATACCTAAGTGCTTTCACTTCGGTTAACACTTACCCTGGAATCATTCTTGAAAGTTACAGACTGTGGTGTTTCTCTAACCACACTCGGGAAAATAAACTAAAACAATACACCTAAACGCCACTTTCTCTTGGGAAGTAAAGCTTATGTTTCACAGCAGGCCTTTTAGGGGGGCAGGGTGGAGACTCATTTATGAGTGATACATGCATTTGGCCCAACTTCAAAAGAACCACAGTCAGTGTAGCCCCAGCGGTCTCCCTATTCTAGAAAAGCCGAGAGTCTATTTCATGGTTGGTGACCCGTGGGCCCTGAAACCACAGAAGAGCACCAGCAAATCAATCGACTCTGCCCCACACACTGCTTCTGCTCATTCCCCATCTAGGACTCTGCCAAGTGTCAAATGGGGACAGACACACCTTCTAGGTCACTTTTCCAGAACCAGTCCAGGGAGCAAGGCTCCCTGTTCTCATCCAAGCGGTCCTCTGACCCTACTCTCCAAAGTGAGCCTCAGCCAGGCCTGCAGCTTTTCCACATCACTAATAAGATTCCTTTTATGGTCTTGTGAAAAGCAAGGGGCTCCGGACTGATCCTCTGGAACCACCTGCAGGCCCCTTCCCCCTAAACTCCAAACACAAGTTCAAGGGCAGTCAGTATTCACAGTTAACTTGGGCACAGATTAAAAAGTGGCCAGCCTCTTTAAAGTTCTCCCTAGCAGGGGATTAACAAACAAGATAAACACTCTTTGTAAAACTGAAATCCCACAACAGACGCAGCCCTCCATTCTCAGAGAACTCTACATACCACGGGTTTTTATAAGTCCCTTTTAATGGCATGTTTCCGATAACTGTCTTATCTCACTCATGGCAGAGGGCACTTTATAATGCCAGCTCCGGTAAATGCGGGCCTTGAGAGCCACCCCAAGATACACACAGCACCCAGGCACTCTCCCCCTTCCTCCCCTCCCGGCGATTCGAATCACAGCCCCAGCCCGCGGACAGGAGGCAGTAGAGTGCACCCCATCAGAGCACGTGGCAGAGAGTATTCCCCTGGGCACTGAGCTTCCCCCTCCCCCCTCAACGCCCACCCTGGCAGCACCGGCTGGGCCAAGCCCCAGTCCTGGCGACGAGCCACGCCTCCTGGACAGCGCGAGCGGAGCAGAGGGCACCAGCATTTTCCCCTTTCCTCCCCTTCTGCAATCACGCTCATCTTCCTTCTACCCAGTTTGGGATGTTGCAAGGGCCTCGTTGCAGGGTCGGTGAGCGGCGCCCGGGGCCTCGAGCGGCGCCCGGGGCCTCGAGCGGCGCCCGGGGCGGGGGTCCACGCACTTGGACTCTCAGCAGCCGCCTCTAGTGGGCCGCCCCTTCCAGGCCTTGACACGCCCCCGGAGGCTAGCGGGGGCCGGGCGCCCGCCGGACGAGGGCGCACCCCCGCCCTTCCCGGGGAAGTTTGCAAACACAGCTGGTTCCAGAGCCCGGGAACCGCTGGAAGTGAGGCCACAAGGGCTACACGGCGCGGGGGCGAGGGCAGGAAGGGGCCGGCAGGGGGCGGAGGCTCTCGGGCTCCCAGCTCCAGCCATGGCCCAGAGACACCCCCCGCCCCACACACACCCCCCCAAGCGGCGGCCGCCCCCGCGCCCTTACATCCAGCCCGGAGCGCGTCCCCGCACGCCCCAAAGTCTCCCGGAGAGCAGCGGGAAACAGGCTCCCCCACACCCTCCAGGAAGGACACACCCGCTCTCCAGGCCGCTCACGAGAAAGGGGAGGGTGCCGATTTGGACGGCGTTCGAAGGCCAAAACTGCGCCGCGTCGCTTTCCACGGCCCATCAGGTTTAAATGGTTAAGCAAAGATCGTCTATAAGGACCCCCAGCTCGGGGATTGGGGGGGGTCAATCTAGGGCCTTCAAATTGCAAGTTTAAACTGGCCTTCCTGGGAGCTTTACCTCACAAACCCCTGGGGGCTCCCCACTTTTGCGCGTTTAGCAAAAAGCCTCGAACACGGGGCCTGCCGAGATCTAACGATAGAGTCTCGGCTGCTTAACACCCCACCCCGCAAGACTTTTCCAGTTAGCGCGGAGTTTCAAGCCAAGGCCCTTTAAATCCCTCTCGCACGAGAGAGCGGGGCTCGGCAGGCGCGGGTGCGGACCTCGGCGGGCCCCCCCTCACCGCGCGGCTCACTCACCGGCCAGGCGAAACTGAAAGGCAGCACGATGCGGTTGCGTTCGTTGCCACGACTGGCCTTGAGATTGAAGGTGTTGCCCCCGATGACAGGAGTGGAGCCCGAGCCGAAGCTGCAGGGCCCCCCGGCCGTGACGCGGGACTGGTACTCCTTGAGGCACACTTTGAAGTACGTGTCACACTCGTCGTGGGAGCACTTGCGGTCCCCCGGGTTGCGGACGCCGCCGCAGCAGTTCCCGTTCTGCAGCTCCCCGTTCACGTTCTGCATAGACAGGATCTCCAACTCGAACTGGCCGGAGGCCCCGCACACCTGCCGGCGAGGAAGGGAGGGAGGGAGGTCAGCGCAGGGGAAAGTTGTTTTCTTCGAGGGTGTAGGTAACGACTCCCTCCCCACCCGCCCCGACGAGCCCTCAGCGCCAAGTGAAAATAATTTTGCAAAACCGAGTGCAAAGACTCAACGTGATTTCCCGGGCATAAAATGCACGAGCGCAGGAGAAATCCGACGACTGCCCCCGAGGTGAAGAACGGAGAGAACGCAGCCCCCTGCCCCACCTGGAGGGTAGATTTAGGAGGTCCGGGACTTCCCCAGTCCAGGGGCTGCGTCTCGGGAGCAGGACCCGGCCGGGGAGCCGGGCGCCCGGGGACTCCCGAGCCCTCTCCAGGCGCTCAACCGCAGGCGTCCAGGGAGCTGCGAGGGAAAGGAGAGGGCGGGCCAGGAAGGAGGCCCGGCGGTCTCCTACCTTGGCTCTCAGGGCGCAGAGCAGGGCGAGCAGGAGGCTCAGGGGGCGCCCGGGCCGGCCGCGCGTCCGTGGGGACCGCATCGCTGCGCCGCGCGCCGCGGGCACTCGGGACGCCGCCGCCGCTGCCGCTCGCGCTGGTGCTCCGGCCGGTGCTGCCGTCGCCGCTGCCCCTGCGGCCGCCGCGTCCCGGCTCTAATATACTCCGCCGATTGGAGCATGCACGACTGGAAAACAACACCACTTTTCAAAAGCCCTTTCAAGAGCGGCGCGTTCCAGAAGGCAAAGGGCCCGGCCTCCTTTTATTATTCTGATCGCTTCTTTGAGGCGCTCCCCCTCCTCTTCCACCTCCCGGCTTTCTTTCCTTCTCTCGCGCTCCCCTTCTTTTATTATTATGATTATGCGCAGCCTTTTATTCCCTTTCAGATCAGCTGCTTAAAAAGAAGAGAGGGAGGGGAGAAAAAAAAAAAAAACCGAGCCCAGCTCACGGGCCGGCCGCAGGTAACACAATGACGCGTGCCCGCCCGGCTCTCGGAGAGGGACTCGGAGAGCCCGTCTGGGAGCCGCGGCCCGGGCTGGCCACCTCTACCCAGCGCGCCCGGCAGGCGCATGCGCGCTTATTAATATTCATGAGGAGGCGTGTCGCGCGAAGACACGCCCCTTCCCTCTGGTTGATGGGGAGGGGAGGACTGGGAGGAACTTGGAAGGGGCTGGGGGCTCAGGGACTCGCGATACCGCGTAGACGTCCCGGGGCTTAGCGCGGACCCCTGCCCTCGGGAGCTTTGGGCCAGGCGGGAAGGGGGGCAGCGTGCGGCGAAGAACTTGCTAGGGTCTGTTGCTCAGGGACGCGCGGCGTCTCGTTGCTGCCCGGGAGCCCCCTCGGACGCCTCGGGCCGGGCGCCTGTGCCCGCCCGTCGGGGCCCCAGGTGTAGGCGCCGCGGCGCTGCCTGAGCGGTCGGAGCGGGGCAGCTTCCGCCTTCCGAGCCGTCTGCGTCAGCTGCGGCTTTCGCCCCAGGAGGAGGGCCTGCCCGCCGGGAGCCCGGCCCGCTTCCCGCGAGCGAGCCGCCCAGAGCTCGCTGCTGGCAGCGGTAGCCGCAGGCGGCGGCGGCGGCGAGGCTGGCGTGCTTGCCGCCGTCTGCTCGCCCGGCGGAGGCGACCTGGGCAGGCGCTGCTGGGAACTTTGAAAAACTTTCCCGGAGCCAGGCTTGCCGCAGATTCGAGGGGAAGCCTCGGCCGCGCCCCACCCCCTCCCCGATCCGAGTCTGCGAAGTCTCGGAGGGCTCCCAGCGTCAGGGTCCAGCGTCTTTTCGCTGTGCCAGGGCAGGGTCTAGGGGAAGCCGGGAGGGGGAGGGCGGCGGACACACTGGGGTCCGCTCAGGTTTGGGGAGGGGCTGAGTGAGATGCTGATGGGCTTGGCCTCCCACCGTCCTGGTCCTGCTGCCCAGGCCGCAGTGCCGGGATTGCACCTGTAGGCGGCCTCCGAGCAGCTCTCTGGGTGGCAGGAGAGGAGCCTGGAATGGACCATCTCCCCGCCATCGCCCTGCAGCAGAACTTCGCTATCTGGGGTGGCAGTGGAAACCGATGCTATTTTCCACCTTAAGGCGAGCCTCGCAGTTTACAGCGACACTCCTGGTCATAACCAAGGTCAAAGGAAGGAAACCTGCGGGCTGGCCAAAGCCTCTGCCAGCCCCTCTCACAGCAGACATGCTGCTGCGTTTGAGGGGACCTCTTGATTTCCACTGAAGGGTGACAAAGTTTTGGCCCCCATATTGGGCATGTTCGGAAAAGCGTGACTATTCAGGGGCAGGATCGTGGCTTGACCCCTCTGGGACTGTGGGGCATGATGGGCTGCAATGGGTCAAAGGAAAATAGTTTCCAATATACTGAGTTATGAGTGCATAAAAGGTTGGGTACATTGTGGTTATTTACTGCATTTAGTGACAATATTTTCGGTGCCAGATCTCAGCACGCTGGGGAATAACGCAGCCAGCTGACCTCTTTACATTTGTTCAAAGCCACCAAGGGTGGTTTAGCAATCTTGGCGTTTTAACAGCTCAGGAAATACTCCTAAGAAAGGTACCTTCTTAGTGGCAATGTGTCCCATCTTGACCATCATTGGTGAGATGATCCGTGGCACAGGCAGCAGCAACCTGAGCATTATGTCTTAATGTGCCCCAGTCCCTGCAATTATCCTAAATGCAAGGCAGCCAGTTGCCAACTGTAAGTGCATCTAGACTTTTCTCAAAGTTTCCAAACCAATCTCCTCTACCTCCTATCTGCCTCCTTCTCCCTTGTCCTCCCAAATGTCCATGGGGGTGCTAAGTAATGTTTTAAAGGCAAAATGCTTGTGCTGGGGACGGGGGAAACACAATTCGTGAAGGCTGATGAGGTCTTCAATTGCACACTCCTTGGAGTTCCCCGTGTCTGAACCTGTTTTAATTCTGTGCCTGGTGGCTGGTCCCCCACACCCGGCTCAGGAAGGAGGCTGAGGCCTTGAGTTGAAGAGTTTAGATCCAGCCACCTGGGTTAACCCGAAAGGGCCACCTGAGATTTCACGTGCCTCCAGGTAGTAATCTGGACTGCGTGTAAGCTGGGGTCAGCTCCAGGCCACAGTTGAGTTTAGCCCCCTTCTTTTTTTTTTTTTTTTTTTTTCTTATTAAGAAAGAGAACATAGATTTCTGGGGGTTGAAACTCTCCGATGAACCCTGACAGGTATGTGACATCACTAATAAACACAAAATTCACATGCTGAAGAGGACAGTGTCCCTCACCCTTCCTGAGCTTGGGAACCCACTTTTAGAGAAGACAGTTGTGGGTTAGAGGGGATTCTTCTGAAAATTTTCAGTTGGGACTCTTCCAGCTAATTGGTACTCCCCCAAAAAGCCAGTCACGTTTACCGCAACAGACACCAACTGGAAGCTCTGCCTTCTACTTCCTTGCTGCTGGCTCTCAGCCTCGCTCTCTGGAGAACGGGGAACTTCTGCGGAAAGAACTCAAGCACGCAGATTCCCCCTTGGCCAAGTCACATCCTGCCTTTGGGTACAGCAAGTGAACATTCTAGAAAAAAACGTTCCTGTAGAAAGTGCCCTGTTTAGCCATCACACTTACACCTGTGAGAAGGGGAGAGGTTTGGGGTCAGTTCCTGTCTGGCCCGTCTCATGTGCTCCAATCATAACCATCCTTTGGTATCTTTAATTTTAAAGATGTATTTATTTTAGAGAGAGAGCAGAGGGGAGGAGCAGAGGGAGAGAGAATCTGAAGCAGACTCCCCACTGAGTGCAGAGCCCCACATGGGGTTCCATCTCACGACTCTGAGATCATGACCTGAGCCAAAATCAAGAGTCAGATGCTCAACCAACTGAGCCACCCAGGTGCCCCACTTTCTTTAATTTTAAAAAGATGCCTTATTTTACTTCTTCCACAAAACTTGCCCTGTTTTACTGAGTCATCCACAAACAGCAGTCCTGAACACCGCCCCCCCCCACCAAAAGTTTAATAAGAGACATTCAAGTTATAATAACTGAATGTAAATACATTTGGTCAACTTGAATCTCTCAGCACTATGATAAAAATCAGCAAATCAATATTTATTGAGAACTATCCTACTGAATGAAAGAAGCCCGACACAGAAGACTACATACTGTATGAAACTGTTTATATGAAGTACTAGGGCAGGCAAAACTAATTTGCAGTAAAAGAAAATGTCGATGGAAGGATGGAGATGAACTGGGATCATCTTGAGGCTTCTTCCAGAGGAGGGCTAATGTTCTGTATCATGATAAGGGTTTGGGTTACACAGGTGTATGCATTTGTCAAAATCCATTAGTTTACTTAAGATCGGTGCATCTCATGCGTTCAAAAGAGACAAAATCGTAATAGTCAACTTGAGTTAATTATATGGGTGCTGAAGTATATAGAGGGAAGTGAAATGATATTTGCAGCTTGGAAATGCATTTAAAAAGGAGATTATGGGGGTGCCTGGGTGGCTCAGTTGTCTGCTTTCGGCTCAGTCGTCTGCCTTCGGCTCAGGTCATGATCCCAGGATCCAGGGATCGAGTCCCTCCTCCCTCTTATGCTCTCTCTCTCACTCTCTCAAATAAGCAAATAAAATCTTAAAAAAAAAACTGTTTCTTGGTTTAAAAAAATAATAAAAATAAAAATGAGATGATGGATGGAGAGAAGCTCGCTGGCTGGATATATGCTGGAGCAAAATAGTGAAGGGTTAAGGATAGGATCTAGAGGGGACATATGGTGTTCACATACAATTCTTTGAAATGTCTCTGCCTGAAATTTTTCACTATAAAATATGTTGAGGGAAATGGTTACCTGAATATGCCAGGTATTGTGTAGGGTGCCAAGAGTACAGTGGATGACACCAAAACAGTGGACTTAAAGATTACAGAGTGGAGGGAATTCCTGTAAGGGATGATGATAGTGTAGATTGTTGTAGTGAACAAAAGGGAGGTCCTTATTTCCCCCCATTCCTTGTCTCCCCAATACTTTCTTCTTTCCAATAAATAAGAGAGGAAGGTCCAAATATATAAAGGGACCTGTAAAAAAGTCATTTAATATCTTCCTTTTTCTTGTTTGCACCTTGCAGAGAAGTTAAGGCAAGTTCAGGAGCCCTCTTCCATAGAAGAGCAGATGGTGATATCTTTCTGCTCCTTTCCAGCAGAACCAAAGGATGCTTATGTCCTACAAGCTCTTCTTTCCTTCTACCACGGTACCACCTCAGAAAATGCAAACCCCTGCAAACTCTGCCTAGCCAGCCCTCCGAGGAAGCACGGCCTCTGAGCAGACAACCACCTTCATGGATGATTCTCCTTCTTCCACATCACAAGCAGTTCTGAGAAAAACCTATGGGCTGCACATAAGACGTTAAAAAATTCAGGATAAAGTTATAGCTCCCATGGCAACCATAACCAGGCCACAAGTTTATCCATTTAAGCATAAACTGAGAAGATCCAGCCCTCTTTTTTCAAAGCTTCATTTTACATCCACAAGAGAGCTGAATTAATTTTCTTTGGAAACCAGAACTACGAATTTCTTGCATTATTAACAGTAATTTTGTATGAGCTTTCGTTTAAAACATTGTTTTGGTTTGGACTTGAGCTCAGGTATTTATAATTTTGCCTGTCCTGCCCCGATGCCGTCTCGCAGGCTTTATGCGGAAAGCTCTCAGGACAGAGTTCCATGTCCACGGCCCCTTTAACAAGCCAGTGATCGAAAGTCACAAAAAACCCAAGATGCAAAATCTAGGAACCGGGGGACTGATTTCCTCATTTTACTCCTTGAGTTAAAACCGAAGATTCTGTATGACCTTTCATAGTTTTATATAGTTCTATAGTTTCATAGTTTACTGTGGAAAAAAGTTCTACTTGTAAAACATACCCTTTTCTTATGGCTGAGAGCCTTTTTGAAAATAAAAAAAAATCTTGGGTGTCAATTGCTGTTAAATTGACCTTCTCAAAACAATTATAAATGAATCGTTCACCCTCCTTTTTGTGGTGATAACATAGTGAGTTTTCTGTTCTGTGAATGACACCTGAACAACTTGACCCATAGATATTCTGGGATAGGAT